CGCGCTGTGCACCTCGTGCGGCACTCCCAGGACCCCAATCTACAGTCCACCTTGCGGCACTTCTTCATGAGTGGTCTGAGAGAGGACGTGCAGAGCTTTGTGAAGACTCGCCGTCCTGAGACCTTTGAAGCAGCAGTGGCCGAAGGGGAGTATTTTGAGGACACGTTCCTTGGCGGAGTTGCTGCCGCCGTCAGCGGGCACCCGTCCGCGTGGGGCAAGGAGGCCCCCGCCACACCTATCCTTCCAACTGCCACACCTGCCAAGGTGCTACGTAACAGCACCAATGATCCAGTCGACTCAATCACCCGGAAGCTTGAGCAGTTGAGTTTGCTGGTCCACGACCTGCGCCTCTACCTGGCTGCTGACAGCCAGCCCGACGACCGCCCCGCCAACACCTGGGAGGCTACCGCGAGGCCCTCTGTGGCTCGGGCCTACCTGGCAGAGGATGCTGACGAGTGATGAGGGTGAGGCAGAGGTACAAGCGGCTGCAAGAGGTGGCGATGCTAGCGGCACTGAGCCATTCGCCGCCGCCGCTAAGTGCATTGCTGGTGAGGGCACCAGCTTCGTTTGGTGGGGGGAACCACAGCTGTGACAGCAGAACAGCTCCCCTGCCACCCCAATTCCCAATTCCCAACCCACAAATTTTACTTTTTCGAACGATCGAATCAATCAAAGCGCGCCCGCGGATATTCAAACAGCCTGATATTTTCATATCAGCAGACTGACTTTTCACCCACCTGTCACAGATTTTCCCTCGCCCGTTCGGTTTTTTGCCGACAGCTGGCTAGCAGCCAGACTATATAAGGAGCCTCGATGCCCTGACAAGATCATCTTTTCTCTCCCTTTGTGCTGGAGTGCCCCTGTGTAATAACAGGCGCCCGCCGCCCCAGCCCCGCCCGAAGGAGAAGGATCCTGCCGCTGCGACCAGCGCTCGGCAGTCACCCCAGCGCTCTCACGAGGCTCCCCGCTCTCACACAAAGACAAAACAGGCCGGCCGGAACCTTCTGGACCCGCGCCGCCTTTTTGCACCACAAGTGGCGGCGCTGGCGGGCCGCGGCACCACCACTGACTTTCAGCGCCTGCTGCAGCTTATCACTGCCGTGGGGCATGTTGACATCAGCAAGCTGCCATCAGTACGTGATTCACGTTGCCTGGGCATTGGATTTCATTCTTTCTGACTTCCAGGGAGTTGCCTACGTCATCGTGACCACCGTGACCTGTTCAGTTTTCACCAGCTCGATTCATTTATTGTGAGGCCTCTGATCAAGGAGTTTTTATTGCCTTCCTCTAGGAGCACCGCGCCGCTGTTCTCCAACCAAGGTGAGCGTCTGCCTGTGACGCGCTGCCGCCCAGCCTCGGCAATGCAGCAGGCAGACATGTGTTGCCGTCTAAAGGCGTTGAGCGCGGCGAGGGGCGGAACGAGGCCCGCCTAGGCAGGGTGGCGCGGTGGCGCCAGCGCACATGCTGGCGCAGGCTTTTAGGGTGCCAACTACATGCTGCTTGCCTTGGTGCCTTTTAACCGCAGGTTGCGTTCATTATGATGGGGAGCTGCGAGGAAGATGAAGACATGTTTTTCGACAGTCCGGAGGGCCTGAAGCGGTCCAGGGCCGACCTGAGCGCCCGCCTGCACGAGTGCCGCTCCGCCCGCTGCCTGCTGCCCTGCGGCCTGCTGCCTGAGGAGCTGGAGGAGCTGAAGGGCTTCAGCACCGTGGTGTCCAACACCACGGCCCTGATCCAGGGTGAGCGAGCGACGCATGGCTGCCGGGGCGGGCCTGAAGCATGCCGCAGCGTCCCCCAAGCCGCTGCTGCGGCGGCTGCTGCGCCGGGGCGCACGGCTCGAGCCCCTACTTGCACCCACTGCCGACCTGTGCGCTGCTTGGCTACCTGCCCCTCGCCCCCGCTGCGCCGCGTGCAGTGGATGTCTCGCTGAAGAGGAAGTTGATGATGGAGGACAGCGGCGGCACCGCAGCCCCGCTCACCCCTCCCAGCCTGGAGATGCTGACCATCTGCTCCCCCGGCGAGGCCGATGCCTCTGATGCCGAGGACTGCTGCACTCCGAGCAGTGAAACCGACCAAGGGCTACTGCCGGTGGGCACAGGGCGTGCCCACCACGCCACGCCTGTGGCGGTGCTGGCTGCTGCCAGTGGCGGGGAAGAGGAGGGCAGCGAGGGGGTGGTGCGCGCCAAGCTGGCGGCGGCGGCGGCATCCTGAGCTGTGGGCTGCACACCGTGTGGCTGGCCCAGGCTAGCGCGTGGCAGGCAGCCTGGCAGCTGCCAGGCCACCTGGGCAGGCCATCTCACTGTGGCTGTTAGGAGGGCCCCGTGTACCCCAGCACCCATCTGCATTCAAACACTACTCTGCGTTTGTGTTGCACGTTTTCGGCTATAGTGGCCACCATCGAGAAACAGCCTAGAATTCTGCACTTGCACCCATGTACACCTATTCAACCCTTAGCACCCAATGCATTCGTCAGCGCCCCTCCATTCTTCCTGCTCACATGCATAGGACGGCCGCCTGCGTATGACCGCCTGCTGCCCCATTCCTGCCTGTTTGCTGTCTTTTTCCTGCCCCTGCTTCCATGTCTAGCGCTTGAATGACCTGCTCTCTCTCTTCGCCTCGCTGGCTGCAAGAAGCAACTGCGGTCAGTCTCTGCCAGAAGGAGGCTTTCAGGAGGACCTTACAAGAGGCGGCATGGTACCTACGGCATCGCGGGGGCCATCGCGGCCTGGCACAGCGTGCCAGCATCGCCTTGGCAAAGAATGGGCAGCAAAATTGCAGTATCTAGGGGGTAATGGACAAAATGTAGTACTGAGTATCACGGGGAGGACGCAAATCCGAACACGCCAACGGTGCGGCAGCAAGTTGCGTTGGGGGGACTGGTAAGGCCTGGCTGCGTTTCCTGTTCAGTCATGGAGCGTTATAACTGGGTTCTTGGAAGATGCACAGGTCTCTGGGCTGGTGGAGGGGCACTGGCCACAGCCTGCTGGCCGCGGCTCAGTCCTCGCTCAGCCCTCGTGCTCCGGCGTGCCCATCATAATCTCGGCCAGGCAGTCGGTGTTTGCACGCTCAAAGGCAATGCGCTGCTTGTCCACGACCCCTGGGCGGTCCACCTGCTGCTCCTGCGGCAGCGGCAGGCTGACGCCCATGCACAGCTCCTGCAGTGACTCGGAGCGGTCCAGGCAGTGGTGGATGCCAGAGGCGACTGCAGGGGGCAGGGCGGGCTGTTGGTGGTTGGTGGCTTGGCTGCTTGCCAGGGACAGGGCAGCGCAGCCAGCGACAGGACTTGTAACATGGGGCTGCCCTCTGTGCTGCAATGAATGCCTCCTGGCATCCTGCGGGCTGAAGCTGTTGGGGCGGCAGTCGGGTACAACAACGCGTGCGCCCTTCGGCCGCCTTGCGCCGGTTTCCGCCCACGAGAGCGGCACCCTGGACCCAGCCTGGCCGGGCCCGCTGGCGAGCTTTCGCCTACGGAGCCGCTTCACCAAAGTCCCTGCCACCCTCCTCACCGTTCGGGAGCTCCATCGCGGAGGCCATTGTGAGCGTCGAAGGGTATGACCGGAGGCGGCGTGGGTATGTGGGAGAACGGGAAGTGGTGGCGATAGCTCAATGTGATGGCTGAGCATAAATGTGAGCGGCGCGTCAATTTCAATTGGGTACGCAGGTCTCACCTAATGGCTGCTGCGCGCGCCATGTGGCGCGGCGCCTCTTCACGTCAACACGCCTCCAGAGCCCGGAAGCTGGCAGCGTAAGTGGGGTTTCCAGGGGTGCGCAGCTGGACAAGGGGTTCCCCGCCGGCGCCTGGTGGACGGCGCACCTGCCACCGCCGCCGCCATCCCTCACGGCTTTTGCTGCGTTGTGTTCTTCACAGCAGCAGCGAGTCAAGTAGTTGCATGACATGAAACTAAACTTAAAGAATCGATTGTTTGAGTCGGGAGGTTGAGTTGCTGGGAGGGGACAGAGGCAGGGAGGGTGGAGGCAGAATGGGCGGCAAACGGCAGAAAAATGAGGACGGCGGGGCCCGCCGAGGTGGTTGCGGCTGCCCGCCAGCCAGCTGGGTGCATCGCAGGCGGGGGGCGCGTCAAAGCATCCAGGGCTACGGGCTACGAATGCAGTATTCAGGGAAAGCGGGACAAGGGGAGCTCGCCGGGCGGGGCGGACAACCACCCGCTCGCACCGCCTCCGCACACAGAGCTCCTCGGACCAGACCCGGCGCTGGGGTGGCGGGCGCCGCGGTCGCAGACACACAACACGTTAGTAGTAGACTGTAGACTGGGCACATTTGGGCAGGCAATCGGGTGCCTTGGCCGTGGCAGGAGTGTTGAAAGTGGGCCCTCCCTTGCCCGCAGGTCCAGTCTGAATCTCTTCAAGCTGAACTTTCAACAAGGAGCGGCCTCGGCGTCGGCCACTAGCTCGGCAGGCAGGGCGGAGCTCAAAAGGTGGGCGGCACCCAGCGGTCGACCTTGTCCACCTTGTCGAAGCCGGCGCCCGAGGAGTGGATGCCGCAGGAGTCGCCGTCGTGGCTGTACTCCTCAGCGTACTCGCCCGTGCGCCGCCTGTTGCCCTTGTTGTCAAAGACGCGGAACCAGGAGTTGAAGCCGCTGCACAAGCAAGGCGGGCATGGCGGGCAGGGGACAAGGGCAGGCGGGCGGGAGTGAGGAATGGCGGGGTTGAGCGGGGTAGGGCGGCAGGGGAGCACAGGGGCAGGGCGGCCCCGCGCACAGCCGCGCCAGCCCGCGGCGCCCTGCGCTGCTGCTCCCAGCCGCCGAACAAGCCGCCCTGCCCTCCCTGGCGCTCCCCTGGCCACCGAAAGCCGCCGACGGCAGGCAGCAGCCGCCCTGGGCTCACCCCTTGAGCCCGACCAGGTTCCAGTAGCCCGCCTCATCCAGCAGCTCCAGCGCATCGATGGAGTACGTGCGGCCATCGGAGCAGCCGACGACCAGGCCCGCATCCTTGTCGGGGAACCGCTTCTCGATCTGGACGCAGGGTGGGGCTCGCACAGGGGCTCACACGCTGGTCTGCCCACCCGCAGCCGCCCACCAGCAGCCCGCCGCCGATCCTCCTCCGCCCTGCATGCACCCCGCATGCCCCAACTCCACCCCCGCTGCTGTTCCTACGCCCATACAGCGCTGCCCCTCCCCACCCCACACACCCCTGCCCCCCCCACACACCTGCGCGATGAAGTCCAGGTTGTCCTCCTTCTCCGCCACCTTCTTGCCCTGCTCCGCATCCCACTTCCAGGTGGCATTCACAACGGGGATGTTGACGCACCCCTTGAACTTGCCCACCGCGTCCAGCTCCAGCGCTGGCCGCACATCCAGGTATGTGTAGTCGCCCCGCTCGATCAGGCACTGCGGGGGAGGGGAGCGGGCGGATGGCGGGCGCGGGTTGGCAGGCAGCGATGGGAGGCAGCGTCGACGACGAGAGTGTGGTGCAGCTACCACACTCTACAGGATGCTCCGGCTGGGAGGCGGACCACCCCGCTGCAGCCGGATGGTCCTGCTTGGAGTCCCCAGAAAGCCTCATCTGTTCCTGCTGTGTGCATGCATGCTGTGCGGTGAGCCACCCACCCGCGCCTCCTCCACCGTGGCAATGGCCTTGTCTGGGAACGAAGCGAGCGTCTCGGCAGTGAACTCCTCATCCGTCCACTCCGCAATCATGGCGCTAGCAGACACTGCACAGCGGTCGCGCGGCAGCCAGGCCCGGCACATCAGCGGCAGCAGCGGCAGCGGCAGGCTGAGGCAGGCTGAGGCGCAAGGGGCTGTCATGCGTGAGCTGGCACGAGTGCGATACCAGACTGAAGCGAGCAGCAAGCAGCACGAGCCTGGCCGCGTTTAGCAGCAGCGCGCAGAAGGCAGAAGGTAGAAGCACACCCGCCTGCGAGCTGCCGGCATGGGCGTGCTGGCCGCCTAGGCGCCGCCGCCCGGAACGCTCCGCTGAGGGCGGGGCGCAGGGCCACCGTGCGCTGCCCTGCAGCATGCACAGATAGCTGAAGATCGACCCGGAGCTACTGGGTGCGAACACCAGCACCTGCCTGGGCTGCCCGCATTGTGAGATTCAGCCCCGGCATGTCAGGGCTGGCCGCAACCGCGATCGAGAGCCACCGCTGCATTGCATCAGGCATGCAACATCGAATTACCGTGGGCAGAGACCGCAGCAATGCGGCTGGGGCGGGTGCAAGCCATGGTCGCCTTGGGGATAGTGTCGAGCCCGATCGTCCAGGGACCCGCCTTCTCGTGCAAATGTGAATGGGCGTTGCTGGCAGGGCGCCTGGCGCCTCATCCAGCCATCATGTCCTGCAATTGTACCACGCTGGGCTGGCTGAAGGGGCTTGAAAGGGGCCCACAGAGCCCTGGATCGCCTGCTGTGGATGTATCCAACAGCGTTAAGGCGCTGCAAGGGCCTCCGCGGCAGGTCGGGAGCTGCCGCCGCCGCCGCCATTGCCGCTCGACGAGCCCCGCCGACCAAGAAATGCGTGCGTTTACACGGCCCGGAAATTACTAGTACTCACAAACTCACAAAAAGAAGCCGCAGTTGAGATGAGATGCGCACAATGGCTGCGCTGCCCACGACTGGCGCCGCGCGCCACAGCCGTCTCCATCTCCAAAGAATTGTTCTGGGTTTCGTTTGGGTGCCCGAGAGGGGCTACATAGCCGCAGGCCCCGGACGCCGGCAATAAGCGCGCGCCCCGGACGCCGCCAGCGCGGCCCTCAGTCGTGGTGGCCCACCAGCGGCGGCATGGTGGCGCCGGGCGACGGCCAGGCCGGCGCCCAGCAGCCCGGCTTCACGCCTCAGTCGTCGTACACCAGGCACTCGAGGTCCTCGGGGTTGGAGGCGCAGAACTCGTCCAGCGGGTCGCGGGAGAAGGCCATGGCGGTAGTGGCAACCCACTCGGCGCCGGGCGCCAGCTTGGCGGGGGACGTGGCCAGCGCATTCTCCACGCACACAAACTCCTTGTAGCAGGCCTCCATGGCCGTCCAGGGCGTCCACACCACCACCTCGGGCCAGTTCACGCTGGCGATGGACACGTCACCTGTGGGCAGTGGCGGCGGCGGCGGTGGTGGGAGGGAGGGGGAGGGGCAGGTGGCGGGCGAGTAGGGAGTGAGCTGGGGCAGCGCCAGCGCAGGGATCGCCGGAGCGCGGCAAGCCATCCCCACCCAAGCTGCTGCTGCCCTCAAGCCAGCAAGCACGCACGCACACAGCAAGGCCGGCGCGCAGCCGTGCAGGCCTCGCCACGGCACTGCCCGCAGCGGCGCGCGGGGGCCGGCGCACCCGAGCCGTTGTCGAGCAGGACCTTGGCGGGGGCGGCCTTGTACACGGCGTCCACTGGGCCGCGGAAGGTGGCCAGCTCGCGCAGCTCCTGGTGCACACTGGGGTGGGTGGAGTCGCGCACCTGCAGGGCGGGTGGGCGGGGCGCGGGTGTGTGGGCGTGGGGCAGTGTAGGTGTGTGGCAGTGTGGCGTGGGGCAGTGTGGGTGGGGACAGCGGATGCTGGAATGTGGCGGGGCTCGGGGTGGCAGAGAGCAGGAGGCGGAGCGGGCGGCAGGAGCTGTTGAGGCACCAGGCAGGCACCCCCAGCACCTGCCTGCCTGCTGCCTGCCCCCAGCCCCTGAACCAAGCGCCCATGTGGAGGTGGGCCAAGCGGGGGCCAGCTCACCCTGTCCAGGTATTCCAGGCCCTGCAGGCCCCGCACGTTGGCCGTCTCCACGTCGGCCACGCCAAAGTAGCTGTGCAGGGAGGCGGTGAACTCCAGCGGCTGCGGGGGAGGCGGGGCGGGGAACACACCGGGCAGAGTGAGGAGAGGAGCAGGAGCGGCGACAAACAAGGCCGCGGGCTCAGGGGAACGTCGTCAGCGTGGGAACTGGGCAAGAAACGGGACCCAGAGCAAGCTGCCCGGTAGGGATGCCCCATGCACAGGCTGAGCTGCCGGCCCGCAGCCAGCCCAGCCCCTTCCAGCTGTTGGCCCTGCTCCCAGCGCCCGCTCCAGCCCGGAGCGCCCGCCCACCCACCTTGTCGTCTGTGTTGGTCACGGCCAGGCGGGTGCGCAGCACCTCGCCATCCAGCACCACAGTGTACTCAGCCTGCAGGCAAGCATGTGTGTGTGTGTGTGTGTGTGTGTGTGTTGGGAGCAGCAGGGTTGTGGGCAGCAGCAAGAGCCAGGGAATGCCATGCCTGGCGGGCTGCCCGGCACAGGTTGCTGCTCACACCAGGCGGCGGGTGCCCCCAGGAGCGCCAGGCACCCGCCGGCAGGCCCGCCGCCGCGGCAACGGCGGCGGCGGTCGGCCGCGACGGCAGCTGCACAGCGCCAGCCGCGGGAAGCTGGACAGCGCCAGCCGCAGCGAAGGCCAACCAGCCGCGGCGGCAGCCGGCCAGGCGTGGCGGCGGCAGGGCCGACCGGCCGCGGGGCCGCGGGGGCGCACCTTGAAGGCGTGGGGCCACATGGCGCGAGTGTAGTCGCTGTCCTTGAGCACCAGGGTGACGGCGGGCTTAGCGGCGTCGCCAGAAGCGCCGCCCACAGCCCAGTCGGCGTTGCGGGCAAAGCCGTGGACCTGCATGGCGCCGGGGCCAAACTGCAAAACAAAAGGGAGGGGAGGTGCGCACTTGTGTGCGTGTGTGGCCTTGTGTGGTGTGTGTCGAGGGTGGTTGACGGCGATGGGGCAGCAGTGGTTGGGCCGCAGCCGTCAGCGCGGGGCAGGGCGAGCAGCGCGTGGCGGCAGCGCGCGGGGCAGGTGGCGCGGCAGCGGGCGGCGCGCCTGCGGGAAGCAGTGCGGGATGCCGCCCGAGATTGGCTTGCTCTTGTCGAACACAGCATCGGGACGGATGTAGAGCACTGCATGAGACAGGCAAAGGTTGGCAGCAGGGAAAGAGGAAGAGAGGGAGGGAGGGCCGAGTGGTGGCGTCTGCCGGCAGTGCTCAAGCAGGCAACGGGGGCTGCCACGGCAGTCGAGCAGGAGTCGGAGGCGTTGCCTGCAAACACAGCTCACCCTCCTGGCCAGCAGCCGTCTTCCAGGAGGTCACACAGCCGCCAAACAAGGCGATCTACGGGCAGCGACGGCGAGCAGGGGCAGCGTGCAGGGTGTGGCAGGCGCGGCAGCAGGGTGGCTACGCAGCGACGCAGAGACGCAGTCACGAGTGATTGCTCAGCTCAGCCCATCATGCCTGCCCACCTCAGCAGTGGCGCCCGCAGCCGACTTGAGGAACACCGTGGGCAGGCCGCCACGCCCCTCCTTCACCTCCACAGCGCTGCCCTTGCCTGCGTCGGCATGCGCGGTGAGGTGAGTGTGTGGTGACACAGGTGGTGGCAGGTGTCAGCTGTATGCGTGTGCGCGCGGTGGGAAAGGCAAGGCCTGGTTTCAGCGCTGTGCATGGGTGGAGAGGGTGACGGGCTGCAAGGCCAGCAGCGGTGGGAGATGCCCCAGCAACGTGGCAGCCCTGCCATATTGCTTAACCTGCTGCTCACCATACTTGGCGTTCAGCTCCTTGACGTCCACAGTGGCGGTGGCTGCCGCCTGGGAGCGCACGCGCAGCGGGCCACGAGCGGGGCGCACGGGGCGGAACGCCGAAAGACGGACGGCAGCGGCGGCGGCAGGGCGCCTGCGGCAGCGGCAGCGGCTGGGCGGCCGGTCAGGCTCCGGGCGCTGCGCAGCTTGCAGAGCCCATGGCAATTTCTCAGCTGGCCCCTACCTACTCGGCGCGGTGCTGCCGCGAGGAATGCACGCCGATGGGGCTATGGCCAGGGCACTCATGTCTGCACTAATCTCCCCTGATCTCACACACAAAGGCAGATCAGTAAAGCCGCGGCTCGCGTGCAGGACCCGTTGTCGTGCAGGGGCTGGCGCAGGACCCTGATCGCCGCCGCCCAGCTGGCGCCGCCGCCAAGTGCTTCAATTGAAGGCTGCCTGGCTGCTTCGTCTTCATGCATGCTTGGATCAGACATTACGTATAGACATGGGCTGCAGTGTATTGAGATCAAACATGTGCAGGGAGCGCGCTGGGCCAGCAGAACCCTTGTTTTCGCCTACGCCACAGCTGCCTGCTGCAGCAACTGTGCGTTGTACTGCACACAGACACGCAACGCCGGTGATCTGTCTTGCATGTAGGATACGTTCAATGGATAAAGTGACGAATTCAAGGCGGCACATCTAAAGCATGTTGTCACAAAGGAGTTGGCCCAGGATGATGCAATGTGTGATGGAAGCAGGGTGTTATCATGGGCCCCGTCTGGTACTCAAATGCAATGCAGAGCGGTCGCCACTAAAATCGTGGGAGGTGCTTGGTGCACGCACCCGCTCTCTGGAGCCGTCACTTCACAAAATCGGTGCCGGTCCAAACATGCCGCCTCCCGAGGGGTGAGTGCCACGGTCAGGGGGCAGGCTTCCATGCTGCTGCTGCCCATATGAGGGGCACTCCGCGCGCAAGGTTGGGTCACGTCAGCAGCAAGTGCGAGCACCCCGCTCAGTCGAGCCAGCGCCCGCCCTGGGTCGCGGCGCGCGCCGCCCGCTTCCTCTCCACCTCCTTCTGTGGCACACAGGCGGCATGCGTGGCATTACGCAAGGGCTTCCGCCATCGCTGCAGCTATGCATCAGCACTGCCGATGCACAGCGGCTGGCTGCTGCCGTGCTCCCTCACATGCCGCCAGCTAGTCATGCAAGCGCTGCTGCGGCACCTTCCAGCTCGCTGCTGGAAGGCGGCCCCACAGCCTCCCCACCTTGGCCTCAGGGTCCTGGGCAGCAGCCAGCGCCGCCTTCACCTCGGGCTGGTCAATCTGGGTGGGCCGGTTGCGCGGCATGTTGCCCTCGTCCATCCACCTCCCGCCCTGCCAGCAGGAGGCGGCCCTCAAGTTACAATCTCCCCGCGGCAGCAGCGACCCGAGGGGGGCTAACTTTGGCAACCATCAATGGAAGCTCCTTGACCAGCTTGCCAGGTCGCAGAGCAGGCGCCCCTGCAGGCAGCCTCAGGCTCCACCACTCGAGCACAAGGTCACCTGCACGGTGGCGCGGGCCTCCCGCAGCTTCTCATCCGCCTCCCGCCACTCTGGGGAGGCGCGCCCGGCCAGTGCTGCCTTCACCTGCACCCAGACGGCCCAGGCAGCCGGCCATTGGGGAGCATGACAAGGAGCATCACTCGATGATAGCATGTGGGCAGGCACGGGAGCACACAGGGCAGTGGCCCACAGCACGTGCCCAAAGTCGCCGGTGCCCTGCATTGCGTCTTCCAGCTTACACACCTCGGCGCTGTCCGTCTGCGGGCGGTGGCTGTGGCTGCCGTAGCCATGGGAGCCCTCGTGCTCCACGGTGCTGCTCTCCAGCCAGCGGCCTCCCTGCGAGCAGAGTGAATCCCGGCACCAAACAAACAGGTGAGGCCCGCTGAGCCGTTACCTTGGGGCTTCCTTGTAGCTGACATATAGACAGCAGCAGGCTGCTCTTGGTGCAACGGGATGGTTGGATGGCATTGCAGACAGCGGTGGCTCACCTGTGCCGCCGAGACGGCGTCCAAGTGCTTCTCCAGATGGTCGTGCACCGCTGGGTCGTGCAGGTGCTCCAGAGCGGCCCGCACCTGCACAGAAAGGCAGGTAGAGAGCACGCATGGGGGAGTAAAGTACGAGGCTGCGCCAAAGAGAGGGCACTGGACAGGGCTGGGAGTGGAGGCAGTTTGCCGTGGTTGAGAGGCCCGGGGAGCAATGGCGGCCACCTCTGGCGTGTCGGTCTGCACGGTGCGGCGCTCATCGCCGACGCCCATGGTCATGATTCTGCAGGGGAAAGGCAGGCGCAGAGTCGGAGGAGCTCAGGACGCTGTGGCAGAGTGTGGAGGGCTGACGGGCCGCGGGCAGCCGATGAGCGGGCCCGCCCGGGCAGGCAGGAGGCGCCAGCTCCATGTTTCAACGTCGGCGCCTGCGGAAAACCCGCTGCAGGCCTGCAAGGGCGCCGATGCACCCATCCTGCACTGGGTTTGAGGCTCACTGTGGGTTTCCGAAAGCTGCACCAAGTTGACGTGCCGTGTTCCTGACGTGCGTGGTCGAAATTCGCGCAATGTGGTTCTTATAGCGAATGCGTCGTCCAATCTTCGAAAAATAAAGACGTGTGGTGATAGTTAGGTAGCAGACATTCTCATTGGGCAACGTGCTGACTGGCCCAGCACTCTGGTCACACGGTGGTCCAATAATGATCGTGCCGGCCGCGAATTGCAAATGCATCTGTTCCAGCATTCATGCTGCGACGGGCGCTGCTGCTGGGTGCAGGCCGGAAGGCCGCTCCACTCCCAGGCGCCTGCTGCACATCCGCTGCCGCGCTGCTGGAACTCAGGATGGTGCGCCAGGCGAGCCAGGGAGGACAGGCGGGCGTCCAAGGCCGGTCGGTGCGGCTGGCCGGGGCGTCGCCACTTGCACTGGCGCCCTCCAGTGCTCGCCCCGCCCGCCCAATCGCTGCTCAGCACAGCCCCTGTAGCTATGTGCACTTTCGTGCCCATCATGCACACGGGATACAGTGCCAGCCCACCGCCCTGCATGTTCTGCAGGTGCATGACGGCGGCAGCCAGGGGCGGGCAACCGAGGAGGAGGCACTGTCCAGCGGGCGCGCTCCCTCCAGCCGCCCGCCAGACACCCCGTCGCAGTACACAGAGGAGTTTGACAAAGTGGCAGACCTGTATCTGGTGCGAGGGGTGGGCTGAACACCTGAGTGGGACCTAGCGATCAGCATGCTCTGGGCAGGCCATGGCGTGCGCTGGTGGTGCAGCTCTCTTGATGTTGCTGCCTGATGGGCCGGCCTGCGTGGTGATGTGGACCGGATTGTGAAAGCCACCGGGCGGCGTGCCTCCCTCCCCTGGTGGGTGCAGGGCGGCCTGTGGAGCAAGATGGAGGCCGCACTGCACGGGGCTGAGGGAGAGGTGGGCTCCTGCTTCTCAGCTGTCACTGACAGCAGCCTGCCTGGCCGCCAGCAGGTGGTCAGAGTGCTGATCAGCAGAGGGTGCTGCCAATCAGTTGTGGGCTTGGCCTACTCGCCTGCAGGGCAAGCGGGTTGACGTGCAGCTGGAGCACGACGCCATGAAGCTGTCGCTGCCAGACGGCGGCAAGATCACCATCACCAAGGCGAGCCCCCACTGCCGCCGGAAACCAGCCCCTGCCCCTGCTCAGAAACCCGGGAGCGCCTGGCGGCACCGCCAGTCGCTGCAGGGTGCCGAACCTCGAGTGCGCTGCGCCACGAGCAGCAGCAGCAGCATGCCATGAGCTTAGCGGTGCTCACTGCCGCCGACCCACCGGATCCGCCCTGCCCACCGCCGCAGGACCCCGGCAGCCAGTCGCTGGTGGTCCACAGCAACCTGCACGACTTCTACGGCTCGGACGGCACCGACAGCGAGGTGCCCTTCAGGTCCGCCACCACTGGTAGCACCACTGCTTCCAGCGCTGCCACCTCAGCCTTGCACCTGCCACGTGCTGGGCCTACCTGCTGCCAGGCCTGCCTGTGCAGCTCCACCCACCGTGTTGCGCTTGCCCCTTGCTGGCCGCCATGTGGCACGCGCGAGCAGGCTGCAGCGGGACAAGACGTGGGAGATGGATGGCGAGGAGCTTCATGAGTTCATCGAGGATGGTCTGGCAAAGCACCTCAAGGTGCAGGTGAGCCTTTCCAGCCTGGCACGACCCTATATTGTATGGGTGACCACCAGCGCGCAGTCAAGGGGCGGACTGGTGGCTCCACAGCTGTGTCTGCGGCCCAGGCGGGGGGACCCTCAGTGGGGCTGGGCCTCGGCAGGCTGCTGCCGCCGCGCACTGACTGCCACATGTGTTCGCCGGGTGTGCGTGGTCCCACAGGTTGACCTGGAACCGGAGGCTCAGACGCAGTACGGCCCAAGTGTGTGTGCAGCGGGCATGCTCCAGCGTTTGGCTCCCCAGTGCCGGCTGTGCGCACTTGCTCTTGTGGCGGTGCGTGCCGTGTAGACCCAACGTGGCGGTGTGTGCCGTGCAGACCCAACATAGGTGCTGGCATCGGCATGCATGTCGGAGCACAGCGGGCTTAACAGGAGGCTGAGAAGGAGGCGGGTGTCTCCTGATTCCTGTATTCCACACCATCAGTTGGGCAGCATGTGTTTCCTTGAAATGAGCCCTCACACTCTCGGCGCCCTGCCGATGTTGGCGCCTTCTGACCTGGCGGCCCATGGGCCAAGCCGGAGCCGATCTCGGAGGCCGCTGCGACACCGCCATTTGATTGCAAACAACATGTCGACCGTGCCGCAAGCAGAAGGAAGTGTAGAGCTGGACTCGACAGCCCTGCCCAAGAGGCTGGAGAGCCGGCGCCTGGTTCTGCGGGCCAGGGTGCGTGATCCCTTAGAACCGTAGCTACCGCATCGCCATGCACGATTGAATCGGCTCTGGAGCGGTGCTGCACGCCGGCTGCCTGCTCTGGAGCCTTGGCTCCGCCCACCCTTACGCCACACGCCCATTGCGTGCTAAGCCTGGGCTTTAACACAGCCGGGAGGGCGTGGCTGAAAGGGAATGCGAACAACAGCTCCACACTACCTCCGCCGACTGCCGCCGACTGCCGGTGCCGCCAGCCGCCTTTCCCTCTGCAGAGTTTGCTGAACACGCTCAATGTGCTCAAGCGCCGGCTGAACCAGCTGCAGCGCGAGGGGCTGTACACCAAGGAAGACCTGGAGCACCACAAGGTGACCCTTTCCTTAAAACAACAGACAGCAGCCCATGTTGCATCACGACTCAACCGCCGCACCGCTGCGCCTTCACTTTCCAAGGCCAGAGCTGCCAGTGCCTGCATAGCCAGCCCGCTTCACCACCATGCATATGCATGCAGCATGTGCTGGACGACATAGACGCCCGCTGGCGGGACGAGGAGGGCACGTTTGCGGGGCGGCTGGCGGCGGCTGACCCCAAGACTGCGGGCCTCTGCTCCCGCCTCTTCAACGAATGCTTTGGTGAGGCTGGCGCTGGCGCTGGGCTGGGGCTGGGTGCCTGCAGGAGTCCAACTGGAATCCAGCCACATGTCCAGCAGGAGTCAGGCCTCTTCCCAGTGCTGGTGGCGGTGCTGCATTTGCCGCATGCGGTCTGCCCCAAGATTCCCAGCAATGGTGTGCGGCAACCGTGCCTACTGCTGCCAATTGCGTGCAGACTTGCTGGAGGGCATGCACCACACGACCGCGGAGATGCCGGAAGACCTGCGGGGCATGCACAAGTGAGGGGGAGGGATGGGGTTGGTGGTGGTGTGAGGGTAGGAGGAGGCTTACAGGATGAGAAAGGCGCTTGCTGGCAGTTGGCGTGTGGGAGGGCATGCAGGGCTCCACCCGCGGCGCTGTACCAGCAGGATCGGAGACGGCTCCAGCCTCCTTGCCACGCTTGTCCAGGCTCACCCAGCATCCAGCATCCAGCAGCCCCTCAGCTGCCTCTGCTTCCACTCCACCCCCCGCAGGCGCCTGGTGGGCCTGCAGGCGCAGCTGGCCAGGATGCAGGCGGATGCCGACCACACGCTGGCAGAAGTGCTGCCGCTGCAGCATGCGCTGGATGAGATTGACGCAGAGCGGTGAGCCGGGTGCTTCCCCCTTGCCACCTTCGTTGCCTGCCTCCCCTGCCTGCCTGACCGGCTGCCTGAGGTTGGTGTGCCTGGGCACCAAACTAGTTGCTTGCCTGCTTGGCTGGCTGCCCTGCCCGCCGCCCGCCTGCCCTCTGCAGCCTCTCCAAGGGCGGCTCCTTTGCCACCGGCGCCCAGACCGCGGTGCCGGGCGAGTCGGCCTGCAACGAGGTGCTGAACCACTGCTATGAGCTGCTGGCTGACTGCGGGCGCAAGGCGCAGGATGTGTCTCCGGAGATGAAGGCAAGCTGCAGAGCGGTTGGGGCGGGGGCGGAGGCGAAGGGTGCAGGCTTCGGGAAGATGTGGCATCGGAACAACTGCACCTCTGTTCCATCCCCTGCAGGATGTGTATGACCAGCTGCGGCGCATCAAGAATGCGCTGCGCAGGCTGCTGGGCAAGCGGGTGAGCAGAGAGCCGGCCCTGCGTGCTCGCCGCCGTGCCTGCGCGTGTCTCCTGTTGCATGCTCAGGGCGCTGCCAGCGATGCCCTGCCATACCCTTGCCCCACCCGCAGCACCACACGGCTGAGGACCTCAGGCACTACCAGAGCCAGTTGGAGAAGATCGATGGGGAGCGCAAGGTGCGCCGAGTGCGCACCAGCGCAGCTGCTCTTGAAGCTGCTGCCGCCGCCGGCCGGCCAGGTCGCGCATCTGCCACCGGCTGGTTGATGTCTGTCTTGCATGCGCCCTCCCCTCCCTGCCACAGGACGGCGTGTTCTGTGGAGACCTGGAGGCAAGAGCCCTGCAGGCTGCTGCCGCCTGCTGCCCGGTGCCGCCCGCCTGGTGGCACTGCCCCATCAGAGTGACGATGCTCTCCCTCCTGATGGCGAAACGCCGCTGCCTGCCTGCCCCGGCCCGGCTGCAGAAGGGCATCATTCCACACGGCCAGGCGGCAGCCTCCGGCCTGCTGGATGAGTGCTACGGTGGGGCAGGGTGGTGTGGGTCCACAGGGAGGCTGCATTCTTGCCTGCCACCCAGCTCGTGCCACCTCTTAAGCTGTAGCTGTGCCTGGTGCCGACCCGGCAAGCCTTGCGCTGCCCTGCGCTGTGCTGTGCTGCGCTGCTCCGCGCCGCCCGCAGACCTGATTGAGCAGCTGGCTGGCAGCGCGGAGGACATGAGCCCGGAGATGCGGGAGATACTGGGGCAGCTGGAGCAGTACAGGTGGGGCTGCACCAGCTGCCTGCATTGTACTACAGCTGCCTACAATACAGGCTGTAAGATGTTCTGCCGCTCGTTGTGCACCTCTGCCCTTTCGCAGAGGGTGGCCTGCCTGCTGCACCTGCCACTCCTCCATCTGAGGTGGACTCAACCTGCTGCCTGCCCCCACATTGGCCACAGGCACGAGCTGGAGGGCATGCTGCGGCGGCAGCGCACACACGAGGAGCTGCGGGAGGTGCAGGAGAAGCTGGATGCAGTAGACGACGAGCGGCAGGCGCACGCCGGCATCTTTGCGCACCACGCCGCCGAGGCTGGTGCGTGCTTGCAGTTTCAGCAGCCCCTGGTGGGCCACGTTGCTGGGGAGGAGGCAGGTTGTTGCGCGTGGCATGATGTCTGCCAACCAAGCCTGCCGCGGCACCCGGGGAGCCTTTGCAGCAGTGTCCCTTGCCACCTGGCACGTGTGCCAGCATGCTGACTGCTGCGTGCTCTGTCGCGGTGCAGGCAAGCCCCCGCCGGGCCAGGACGTGTGCTCCGCCGTCCTCAACCACTGCTACAGGCGAGGCGGGCAAGCTTGCTGGGCGGGCAGCACTGGAAACACAGAGAGGCAGCGTGTGCATGTGCGTGTGCCACACGCACCCCTGCCAAACTCCCAGCTGGTCTGCTGCCTGCAGGCTGCTGCATGACCTGTATGCTGACATGGCGGCGGCGGAGCAGTGATCATGTGAGATCGCGGTCTGACGAGCATGCAGCAGCTGAGCTGCAAGATTGCAGCTCGTCCCGCCAGAGTGCAGCAGCCAAAGCTTGTGGCGGGCTGCGGGGGCAGAATGGCTAGGAGCCAACCGAACTGCATAACACACACATGCGGCGTACCAAGAAACAGCAGTCCAGTTTTGCATCAGCGGTTTTGTTTATCCACCAGAAACCTGAGTGAAGATCTCGCTGGCAATGACAACAGTGTGTCATGCCACAACACATGGTGGCAATGAGTCAGGCTCCTTTACAGATTGATCGTCCGATACGCTCTCAGGGTGGGGTCTGGGAAGAAAAGTCAAGGCAACCGCAGTACAGAATAAGTTGAAGCAGGACAAGTTTGCAACTCAACAGGGGAAGAAACTCTCCAGCGACACTCGCTGCGGCATCCGTGTGGACTGCCCCTGCAGCAGCGCCTCACTTCTTCTTAGCACCTGCCTTGGGCTTGGGCTTTGCCCGCGCCTTGCCCGCCCCCTTCTTCACGCCTCCCTTGGCCTTCGGGGCCGCCCGCTTGCGTGGCGCCGCCTTGGCCTTGCCCGCGGCAGAAGCCTTGCCTCGCCCTGCGCAGCACGCGCAGCACGACCGTCAGCAGCCGCCCCTGCTGGACCTGCGCTGCCTCCCAACGCCTCCCTCCACACCTGGCACCCACAGCAATCACCAGTCCCTGCCGTAGCCACCATTCCCGACCTCCACACCCGGCAGGCCCCGGGCTTGCCTTTCTTGGCGCCGCCTGCCTCGTTTGCAGCGCCCGCCGCGCCGCCATCCTCCCCGTCGCCCACATAGTGGTCGTCATCATCGTCCATGCCCCCCAGCACTTCTGTGTCCACAAACGAGAACCGCGTGTCCTCCCTGGGAGCCAGAGGGCAGGCAGGTAGGCAGGGGGCAGGCAAGCAGGCGAGCATGTGGGTCATAGGTAAGGCGGCAATTGAACAGGCGAATTGAATTCACGGGCAGCCTGCTGCTGTGCAACACGCGGTCAGCACGGCTGCGCAGCGAGGTGAGCTGGCAGCCTGCGATGTGGTGGCACAGACACTGCGTGCATGCCAGCCCTCCCCAGCCGCAGCGCAGCGCAGCACAGCACAGCACAGCAGGCGAGCGGGGCTGCTGCACCCCACCTGAGCTGCACAAACTCCGAGAACAGGCACTCCACCTTCGCCTCAGTCTGCCCCATGTTGATCACGGCTATGGACACAGGGCAGGGCACGATGGTGGCATTGTATAGCACACCTGCACAGTGCAGCCAGCACAGCACGCCTGTCGAGCCTGGTGTGGCGTCCCTGCGGGCCCCGGCGGCTGCCTGGCGCCGCCTTCGCTGCCCAGCCAGCGGCCGCCCCACCACCCCTGCGGTTGCTTGCTCCCCTGCCCTGCAGATTCTTTGCTGCTGCAGCGGCGCAAGGAAAGGGGCTGGGCAGGAATGCTGTCGGGCAAGGGAGCGCCGCACCTTTCAGATCTATCTGCATCTCAGGCGCCTCCTTGGTGCCCGCGATGACCAGGCGGCCGATGGCTCCCGAGTCGCCAGACAGGTCGGTCACGTGGTGGGCGTCGTCTGCGGGCGGCGGCAGGCACGAGGGAGTCGGCAGGCGGGCGTGGCGGGGGCCGAGGGGCGGCTGCTTGTGCCATGGGCCGGCAGGCCCCCGACTCACGCCTTCACAAACAGAAACCAACACACATGTCCCTCCTCCAGCCCCAACAGCCCTGGGCCACACCTCCCGTCTACTGTTAACACACACACACACACACGCACGCACACACACGCGCACACGTAGCCCCACCAAGCCTGCACCCACCCGGGTTGCTCTCTAGCTCCACCAGCATCTTCATCTGTGGCAGCTTCTCCGGCAGCACCACCGGCATCTGGCTGGTGGGCGCGTGCGGCAGCCCCAGCCCCGCCGCCGGTCCCCGCTTGGTCGCCGTGCCGCCCTGCTGCGTGGCGGGCTGCGAAGCTGGCGGCTGCGTGGCCGGCGGCTGCGAGGGTGCCTCCTCGTCGCCCGCACCTGCTGCCGCCGCCGCCGCTCGTCCCCGTGGCGTCGCCTTTTGCTTGGCCGCGCTCTTGGGCGCGGCGGCCGCAGCCTTGGCTGTCTGCGGCTTCTTCTCGGCAGTCTGCTGCGTGGGGGGCTGCTGGACGTCGCGGTTGCCTGCGGGCTCTGCCGCTGCCGCCGCTGCCGCTGCCGCCGTGGGCTTGGGAGGCGACAGCACCGCGTCGTCGCTCTCGGAGTCGGTCAGCGTGATGACCTGGTTGCCCTTGTGCCCCGCAGCACCCGTCTGCAGCCAGCTGGGGAAATCGGATTCCGAATCGCTGGCGGCCGCCGGTGCTGCAGGCCTGGGTGCCCCGAAGAGGGCGGCTATGGGGCGTTGCGCCAGCGGCAGCTCATCGTCGCTGCTTGTGTCTGCCATCGATATATCCGATCGAAGCGGCTGGCAACGCTTCTGAGGCTTTGTAGACCTCCGGGTGGTAGATGGCAATCTCGAGGGGCGATGGTGGACGCGCTAAGGCAGCCAGCAGCCACCACGGTGTACTGATTGTACGGAAGGAAGGGCCGGCCCTGGCGCTGAATGGAGCAGCGCCCTCAAAATCGCATATTCGGCCTCACTGGCGTGCATTACAGCTATCAGTGGCTTGCCACAACGGCCTGTCTCTCGACTTGGACATGCTGTCCAGGTGCAGCGGCCACTAGCGCGGGGTATGGACCTCACGAACGCCGGCATGAGGGCTGCAAAGGTAGCTGGCGGCATGCCACTATGCACCAGGCGGCCCTGCTGCGCGCTGCAGCCCTTCCGCCACTGGCGCCGCCAGCGCCCAGGCGTGGCCGTGCCTGCACTCGCCGGCTGTGATTACCCAGCGGCAGCGCCCACGCCTCATTGACTTCCCCCACCACATGATTGGCACACACACCACTTGCCCGCATCCCTCACCTGCTGCAGTTGTGGTACCTCGTGTACTTTGCCGCCCTGAGCTGCCTGTTCCCCTTCCTCAACCTCTCCTTTCGCCGCCTGGGCCTGTCGGAGCGGTCCATCGGCATCCTGGGGGCCGTGCGCCCCTTCATCTCCCTCCCCGCCGGCTCCCTCTGGTCCGGCGCCGCCGACAAGTCGCGCCGCCACCGCGCCGTGCTGCTCCTCACGCTCTGCGCCTCGGTGCTCGCACGCCTGTCGCTGGCGGCGGTGGGCAGGCTGGGCTTTGCGCCGCTGCTGGCGATGGTGGCGCTCACAGAGTTCTTCGCCGCGCCGGTCACCATCATCGCAGACGCAGGTGAGGGCCGCGGCTCGCTCGGCGCAACACCGGACTGAACAGGGCTGGGCCCAAAGCAGTGACGCTGTGCTGGCGCTACGATCAGCCTGATCGCCCTCCCGCCCCACACCTCCGTGCCCGGCCCGCCCTGCCTGCCTGCCCTGCAGCGGTGATGGCGGCGTGCGCGGAGCGTGGGGACTACGGGCGGCAGCGGCTGTGGGGCGCCGTGGGGTGGGGCGCCTTCGCCGCGGTGTCAGGCAGCGCCATCAGCCACGCAGGCGTCGGCGCAGCCTTTGCGGGACACGCTGTGCTGGCCGCGCTGGCGCTGGCACCCACGCTCCGCCTGCCCTTTGGCCCGCTGCACGCCCGGCTGGCCAGGCAGGCCGGCGGGGCGGAGGCAGAGCGGAGCGGCAGCGCGGAAAAGGAGCAGCAGGAGCAGCAGGCACGGCAGGAGCAGCGGGCGACAGGGGAGGAGGCAGCAGCGGGCAGCGCTGACGCCACGGGCACGCCGCCAAAGCCGCCCGGCGGCGGCAGGAAGGCCGCGGTGCAACGCTTCGACAGCGCCTTCATTGAGAAGGAGGCCCTGCTGGCAGGCGGCGCAGCAGCGCAGCAGGAAGGCTCGGGCCCCGGCTCTGCAACGGCGGCGGCCGCCGACGGCGGCACGACTGAGCAGCCCGCGGGGGGGCAGCCGGCGGTACGGTACTGGCGCGGCCTGGCGCAGCTGCTGGGCGACCCTGAAGCCGCCATCTTCATGGCTATGGCCACCACCATGGGCTTTGGGGTGGGCAACATAGAGGGCTACCTGTTTTTGTTCCTGGACGAGCTGGGCGGCTCGGAGCTGCTGATGGGCCTCTCCCTCACCGTCACCTGCGCCGCCGAGTCGCTGGTCTTCTTCTTCCTGCCCCGCCTCCTGCGCGCCGGCACCCGCCGCTGCATGCACCTCGTCTTCGCCGCCTTCATGGTCCGCATGGGCTGCTACGCGGCGCTGAAGCATGCGCCCACACCCTGGATGGTGAGCGGGCTGCGGGGGGCTGAGGGCTGGGAGGTTGGGGGCTGCCAGCAGGCGGCGGCTGCTCTCCAGTGGTGCACTGGAGCAGCAGGCGCCCGCGTTTGGGATGGTGCAGTGTGGGCCGCGCGCTCAGCGCCAGCAGCCTGCAGCTGCCAACAGCTGGCAACAGCTCCTGTCTGACCCGCCCGCCCCTGCCCACGTGCTGCCAGGTGCTGCCAGCCGAGGTGCTCCACGGCTTCACCTTTGCACTGGCGTGGGGGGCTGGGTGCGCCTACTGCGAGCAGCTGGCGCCGCCAGGTCAGCACACGTGATCCCCGCGGTGCCCAGCGCGATGCGTAGCGCAGGGAAACCCGCAGCTCGGTGCTTCCTGTTGGCACACTTGCCTCAATCGCCCACCCACACATCCACCCCAAGCCCCCCGCAGGTCTCGAGGCAACCACGCAGGGGCTGTTTCAGGTGTGAGGGCCCCTGCACCGGCCTGTAACACGCTCAGCATGGTCGCCGGATGTGCGCAAGGCGCCTGCGCCTGCCGCTGACGCATTCCCTCCCATCTGCAGGGGCTGTACTTTGGGCTGGGGCAAGGGATCGGCGCCCTCTGCGGCGGGTATGTCTACCAGAGGCACGGAGCCCAGGCTGTCTACCTGGCAGCCTGCGGCGTGCTGCTGGTAGGCTGGGCGCTCTGTTCCCTGGCGCAGCTGGCGGTCGTCTGCCTGGCGCTGGAGGAGCGCAGCCGGGCACGGTACTTGCAAGTCGCTGGCAGCGATCTGGAGATGAACGAATCGGCACGTAGCGAAGCAATCAAGGCGTGACACCCAGTTTTGTGCTACACACATACGTCATTTTGATGTCATTCCCCTGCTGTGGTCACGCTGCTCACCCGCCTGCCCATGTTCCCTTGCCAGCCTCTCTGATGCTGCCTGGGTTTCTGCTCTCTCCCTGCAAGCCCCCTGCGGCTCGCACGCATTCCCCAAATGGCACAGTGACTGGCTTTCGTACAGAGCGGACGCGGCCCTGGCACCTAGCGGTGCACAAGGAACCCATCCTTGTGGCGAGAGGCGGCAGGCTGGGACGGCACACAGCGGCCCCTGCAGCCCCTGTAGGTGATGGGCATCAATGAGGAATGCAGGGCCGCCACAGCGCCTGCACCCACCCACCACTGGGCGGCGCAACCATAGCGTGCATGTCGTGCCGTCAGCTCTTCCAAAGGCTCGCTCATGGCCACTCTCAGGAGCACCCATGTTTGCTTTACACAGCAAACAGGTTAACCAATCAAGGCATAAATGAACTACACTGTTGTGCATTTTGTCTGTCTCATGCCCCCAGCATCCCTGCTGTGCTGCTCTGATTCCCGAGTGTCTCTGCCTGCTCATGCTGCCACAGCAGCTGTCTATGATGATGCTGTCCTGCTGTCTGCTTGCTTTCCTGCTATATCATGCTTTTTGCTGTCCAGCAAGGCTGCCATCCCGCAGCCGTCACGGTTCTTCTGCACATGGTTACTCTCCAGCACCTCTGTCACATGGTTGCCATCGTGCCCAGGCTGGTGTTGGCTGCAGACAATGCACCAGGCACGCGGCAGCGGGCAGCAGGCAAGGGGTAGGCAGTCCAGGAGGCGGCAGCAGCAACAGCGACGGCGGCTGGCAGCCCCAACGCAGCCAGCCGTGCGTGCGGGCAGAGGCCCGCCCTGCAGTGTGGCACAGCCCCCGGTTGCTGCACTCACATCCCGGGAAGGCCATCCCCAGCGACTGGCGCTTGTCGTTCTGCATCGCCTGGTGCGCCCCGCCGCCCAGCTGCAGCGCGCCGCCCAGGCCGCCGCCGCCGCCCAGGCCGCCCATGAGGTGGCCGCCGCCGCCGCCGCCGCTGGCGCGCGCGGCCGCGCTGCCGCCGCCGCCGCCGGAGCGCATGTGGCGAGCCTGGATGGGCTGGGGGGCCAGGGTGTCTGGCGTGTCGTACACAAAGCCCTGCCCAAAGCTGCCCAGCCCGATGGAGGGCACCGGTGAGGGGTTGGGCATGACAGGCCTGCAGCAGAACAGCAGACATGCGGCATCCCTTGTGAAGGGGCCGGCCTGGCCGGCCAGGGCAGGCTGCAGTGCCGCATTGCTGTGGCTTATATGACGAGCGAGCAGCTGGCAGGCCGGCTGGCAGTACAGGTGCATTGCACTGCCGGCGTTGGCGAGGCGCCGGCGCCCTGGCTCAGCGCACCTGACCCCCAGCACAGTGGGCGCCCGCCTGCCGAGCCCCTCCTCCATCCCCATCGCCGCGCCACGGCTGGGCCGCCCGCCGCCGCCGCCACTGCCCATCAGGTTGTTCATGCCAGTATGCAGGCCGGCGGCCAGGCCCGCGCCGCCGCCGCCGCCCCCCATGCGCTCCTTGCGCAGCGCCTCATTCTGCTGCTGCAGCAGGGCGATGCCCTCCTTGAGCTTCTTGTCCTGGCTGCAGGCAGGCGGGCACAGGGGCTGCTTGTCCCGGTTCAGGCAGGCAGGCAGGCAGGCAGGCAGGCAGCAGGGCAAGGTTGTCTCAACAACAGCATAATGCGCAGCTGGGTGCACACCGGCGGCAGCAAGCTATGACAGGCAGAGCAGGTGCTGGCCGTGCCCCTCGCCCTGCTCCGCGGCAGGCCACCCCCCGCCTCCCGCGTGCCACCGCTCACACAGCCTTCTGGTTGTACTTGGCGGTCAGCTCGCGGTTGCCCTCCTCCAGCGCCGCCTTCTGCGCCAGCACCTCCTGCACAGCAGAGCGCCACAGGGCCGCACCGCGGAGCGGCGCGGCAGCAGCGCTCACCCAACCGCCCAGGGGCTGCTCGGCGCAGCATGTACCAATGGTGGTGGCATGGCTGGCGCGCTAACGACGGGCGAGGGGAGGGGCAGGGAGGGCGGCCTACCCTCCTTCGCGTCGAGGCAGCATGGCCGCCATCAGAAGCCAGCACTGCTGTCCCACTCTTTCGCTTGTTCAGTTCTGATGAGGAATGCCAGCACCCACCTGGTACTTGCGCTTGGCGTTGATGTACCCGCTGTGGACCTCCTGCAGCTTCTTCTTGCACGCGTTGCTGGTCCTCTCGAGCTTGCGCCGGGCCTGCTCCTCCGAGTACTGCCTGTACAGCGCCTGCTGCTTGGTGTCTGCCGCGGCGGGGGCGGCGGGGCGGGGAGGTCAGCGGGCCCCGGGGGCTTGTTGTCCCCGGCCAACGCTGGCTGCTGCTGCAGGTACACACGCACACATAGCCTGCCGGGGCCCATGCCCAGCGCGGCAGCCTGCTCACAGAAGTCAATGGCGGCATACGCCACCTCCATGGCCACCCGCGGCGACTGCCCCGCCAGCGCCAGCTGCAGGCCGGAGCTGTCGGCCAGCGGGTGCACCGCCTTGATGGTGGTCTTCTGGATCAGCTGCGAGCCAGGGCAGAAGAGGGCACACCCGGGCGCAGAGCCTGCTGGTCAGCACTGCCCAGGTTGCGCTGAGCCCTTTTCAGCCACCCCGAGCGAGGCCCTGCCTCCCCGCCCCGCGCGCCTGCGTGCAGATGGGGCAGGTGGGGTCGTCGCTCTCCAGGATGGTCTGGCAACAGTTGAGGCAGTAGAGGTGGCCACACGTGGTGGCCACGCTATGTTCTGCAGGGCGCACAGCAGGGTTGTGGTGTTTGGTTGGGCGAGGGAGGCGGCACCCGCCAGCTCGCCGCCACCCGGCCGGGCACCTTTGGGGTCGCACGGCTTCCAGCAGCCGTTGCAGCACAGCACGCCCTGATCCTGGGCCTCGCCCCCGTGCATGCTGGTGGCCGTTTGGCGGCGAGTTCTGCTGCCCGCGAGTGTTGACTCGACGAGCGCGGGCCTCGTGAGGGTTGCGCTGCGCCCCCAGAGTACTCTAATGCTGGTCGACGCCCGGAATAGGCATTGAAACGGCGGCTGGCAGGCGGGGGCAGCGCAAGAAGAAAGTGATCGGTGGAAACATTGCTTGTGCCCTTCATGCAGCCTCTCTGTGTTCCCTCCCCACCACAGCCATGGCGACTGCTGCCACCTGCATCTGCCTGCAGGGCGCCTGCGATGCGGGGGTGGTGAACGAGGCCCGCCTGCAGCAGCTGGCGGCAGCCGCAGAGCTCAAAGTGCGCAGGGTGGCGTCCTCGCCCGCCGACCTGCTCGTCTCCCGCTCAGGCAGCACGCTGGCCTTCCTGCTGTGGCGGCCCGGCGGCGCGGGCGGCAGCGACAGCGGTGGCATGGTCGCGCGCACCACGCGGATGGCCGGCTCATTCAGGCAGGCATATGTGCTTGTGCCCCACGAGCTGCTGGGAAGCCCCGTCATACTCGACGCCTCCGCCAGGTGCACAGCTGAGCGGCCAGTCGCAGTGGCCAGGCCTCCCGGACAAAAGCTTGCGCCGCTGCTCCCGCTCCAACCAACCCTCCTGCTGCCCGCCTGCTGGCCTGCTCCGCAGCCTCGGCTGCGACGGCCCCAGCTTTGTGTTCATGCCCGCCGGCGCCGAATTCGCGGAGCGAGCGCTGGCGCTGGCGGCGGCGCTGCTGCCGGCAGAGGCGGAGGAGGCGCCGTGGCGGGAGCAGGCGGGTGCTGCGCAGGGCCCTGTGCTGTGCGTGGCCGAGCCGTGGGCCCGCTTCCCATCAATTTAGTTAGATGAATCGCAGAGCCTATCGTCTCCTGCAGCGCCCTTCCAGTCTGCAAGCTTGACAGCCCAGTCCTGCCTGTGACCGCCGCCGCCCTGTTGCAGCAAGCCCAAGTGGCGGCCAACGGCGAGGCCGTGAGCCAGGTGCTGCTGGGGCTGCCGCTGCCAGAGGACGGCGACGCCGCGCACCACGCCAACATGCTGCGCATGCTGGGCTCACTGCAGCACATCAGGTGTGCCGCCGCCGCCACCGCCCTGCCACACCCGCAGCACCTGGCACCGCCCTGCAAAGCAAGCAGACCCTTGGCGCACTGTGTGCCCTGGACGAAAGGGTGTGCTCCTCCACATGCAAGCTGGCCTCCACATGCAAGCTGGCCTCCACATGCAAGCTGGCCTGCAGCGAGCGACGTGGCGACGAGATCGCCGCGCACACCGGCATCGACGGCCAGGCAGCGGCCGCCATTGCCGCTTTCTTCCAGAGGGGCGCCCGCCAGGGCGAGGCGCACCTGGCGGGGACCCAGATGCAGCGGCTGTGAGGCCAGGCAATGGCGCGCATGGCAGGCGTGCAGGTAGCAAGCTTCTTACACTTCTGCATACCGATGAGGTATAGTGGTGCCAGCAGGCGCATGCATGCATGGATGTAAGGAGGCCACAGACGGCGCCAGATGCCGCCCCCGCTCCTGGCGGCTTTCCCTCTATCCCGCTCCAGCACCAAGTCGTGGGTCTCGCCCCAGCGTGCCTGTGCCTCCAGGGCATGCCGCCTGGACGTACCGCCTAGGCGTACTGCCCGCTGAGCGTGCTGGCGATGGCGCCCCTGGCAGCCGAGAAGCCGCCCGCGTAGGCCGCGTTGCGCAGCGCATTCAGCCGCATCTCCACATCCGCCTTGAGGCGCCGCATCACATCGGCATCCACGCCGGCCGCCGCCTCGCCCACCAGCGTGCTGGCAATCTGCAGGCGGGAAGGAGGCGCGGCAGGGCGGGCAGGGCAGCCGGGAGGGGCGTGGGACAGAGCGGGCAAGGGGGAAGGGGCAGCTATAGCTGCTGCACCATTAAAAAGCCAAAGCAAAGCAGCAAGCAGCAGCTCGCAGCAGCGGCGGCCCAGCGCTGCGCAGCTCAGCACAGTGCACCACAGCGGCCCAGTGGCTGCGCACCTTATCCACTAGCTCATCCGTGGCCCGCAGCACATCATCTGCCCGAGGCGCCGCCGCGGGCGTCGCGCCGCCGGCGGCGCCGGCGCCCTTCTTGCTCCCAGCCGCCGCGGGCGCCGCCTTCTTGGCTGCCTTTGTGCCGCCCGCCGCCGCCGCCGCCGCCGCCGCCGCCGGCTTGGCCGCCGCTGCCCCAGGGGCTACTGCTGCTGCCGCCGCCGCCGCGCCGTCGTTTGCTGCCAGGGGCGTGGCTGCGTCTGCAAACGCCTTAAGGTCTGGCGGGTTGTTCATATCGATCACCGGATCAGCCTCCAGGTCCACCCAGGCCGGCTCGCGCCCAACCGACCTGCACGCAAGGCAGCCACGGCAGCGGCGCCCTCAGGATCGCCAGCAGCGCTGCAGGCCAGGGGGCCGCTCGGCCCAGCCCGACCTGACGCCGGCCTGCGAGCCTGAAGTGCCAACAGGCTTCGGGGCTCGGGGGCGCTGCATGCTGCCGCCGGCCGCGCTCCACTGCTGCCCACCCGGGCCCACCTGACGAACGCCTCCAGCCCCTCTGAGGACAGCACCATGGTGGCGGTGTTGTCCAGCGGGTGCACACAGATGCGGGGCTGGCCCCGCAGCTTGCCATCCAGCAGCAGCGCCACGCCCGCCGCCGACGGCTGGGCGATGGCCAGCGGCGTGACGCTGCCCAGTGGCACCTGCGCCCGGGAGCGTGGGACAGGGGCACGAGGGGCCGCTGAGGGCACGAGCCGCAGCCAGCAGAGCCACAGCAGAGCACACACGCTCGCCAAACGACGCCCCTCCCAGCAGCAGGCGCCAGCAGGGCACAGGTGCCGCGGCTGGGGCTTCCCCTCAGCTCGCCTGCAGCACCGTTGGGATCAGCTCATCAGGCGCCATGCGCACGCCGCCCTTGCCGGTGCCCAGCCGCGCCGACAGCACTGCAGGCAGGGAGAGCGGCAGTAGCACTAGCAATCAAGACAGACCCATTCCTCCGCTCTGCATCCTGCTTGGTAGAGCCATCGTCACCATCAGGCCCTGGCCCCAAAGCACACCAACTGACCCTTCAGGTCGACCTTGGTGTCGGCAGCCGCGGTGACGATGTACAGCCGCCCCTTCTTGTCCTGCGCATGTGGTGTGCGGGCGGCGAGCAGGCCTCAGCACACAGCCTGCGACTGGCGGTGCGCTTTGTCGGCGGCATGGCGGTCGGCGGCAGCGGCGGCGGCAGCCGCGCAGATCCATATGGACCCCTGCCTGCGAACCTTGAGGAACAAATTCTTGGTGACGACGCCTGGCACGCCAGACAGCGCCGCTGCCTGCAGGCAAGGCAACAGCGCATGTCAGAGCGGGGCACATGATGTGCGCTTCTTTGGGAAGCAGCGTTCGGATTGAAGCGGCATCTTGCAGCGCTAGCACATGGGCACCTGGGCTTCGCAGGTCATCACCGCCGGGTGCGCATGGGTCTCGTGCTGTATCTGCAGCGCCTGCAACTTGGCCAGCAGAGCGTCCATGATTGCCAAAGCTCGTAGAAATGCAGCGGTGCCGGATGGAGAACGTGATGATAAAATGTCCAGCGAATGGCGGCGTCCCGCCGCCACCCAGGCAGGCAGCTTTGTGTTGTTGCATCCAGCTGGAAGAAATGTACAACAGGTCCACAACAAAAAAATGAACAGAACAACAGGTACCAGGCCCAAGAGCTGCCAACAACAGGGGCCCTGGCTTCAGGACGGCGCACATCCGAACGCGAGCGTCACTTGAGCCTGGCCGCCCGCGGGTGGCGTCTGCGAGGTGCCACTGCTGCCCTGCCTGCCTCCTGGTGCTGCACGTGGTGCTCCTGGAAGGCCCTGGCGGCATACAGCAGCAGTGGGGCCTGGAACACAGCCAGACCCAGCGCCGCCGCCAGCAAGATCTCGGCGGGAGGGTGGAAGTATCGGGCTGCATGCAGAAAAAGGGAGCAGCAGGAAGCTGGTCTGGTGGCTTCCACCAATACCCACAGTGGGAGCCGAGAAGTAGCACAGCGCAGCGCTTGCGGCAATGGCCTGCAAGGGCGGCAGGGCAGGCGGCCGCACGCCTGGCGCTCACCTGTGAAGTAACACTCTGCGCTGACCAGCGCCGCCAGCGCCGCCGCCGCGGCCGAGTAGGCGCGCAGGAAGGCGCGGCCGCGGCCTGCACCGTGGTGCCGCCGTGGCAGCAGGGGAGCAGGGTTCGGCGGGGAGGGCTCGGCAAGCCCAGCGCTGGCTGGTTGGCAGGAAGTGGCAGGGGCACAGCAGAGGTTTGTCGCACTCCGCAGGCCTGCCAGCATCCTGCCGCAGCAGCTCCACTGAAAGTGGATGCTGACCTTGCACAGCCCTTTAATAATGTTTTGAAATTATTGAAACTTCCTCCACCCCGCACCAGCAGCGCACCTGTCCCTTCAACGTGCCACCCGTTGAGCAGCGGCAGCAGCGCCTCGCTAGCCAGCCCCCCGTGGACCGCCGAGGCGAGCAGGATGTGGTCAGACATGACATGCGGCGGGTGGCTCTGGCTGTCGAGCGCCCAGCGCTGCGGCGCAAAGATGTAGCCTGCGCAAGGCAGGAAGCAGGAGGCGGGGAGCGCAGCGGGTGGGCAGGCCACCAGCCAAACCGTGCTCAGCCAGTGCTTGGCTGCGGCCGTCCTGCTTGCGCTGCTGCGGCTGCCGCCAGGACAGATGTGCCCAGCGGCGCCGCCATGCGTGGCCAGGACCGAACCTCACCTGCCACGTGCATCTGGTAGATGGCAGCACGGATGAGGGCCTGCGCCGCGTAGATGCCCGCAGGCACCCAGACCAAGTTTGCGCGGCTGTCAAAGTGTGTGGGCAGCAGGCGGGCGGCGCCCGCGCGCACCGCCCACAGCGCAAACAGCAGCAGCGAGCCCGCGGTGCGAAACAGGACGTCAAACCAGTGCAGGGGCAGGTCTCGGGACTTGACCAGGATGGGCTCCCCTGCGGTGGTGGGTGGGGAAGGGGTAAGACGTGGGGTCGTTCGTGTTCGAAGCCATCTGGGTGGAGGGACGCAGAAACTTGACTGCTGCCTGGCTGCACAAGGTGCAAGCAAGTCACGGCCTGGACCCCACCTTCGTAGGCTAGGATGCCGCCGATGATGAGGGCAAACCAGGCCAGGTAGGAGAAAAGCGCCACAAACAGGGCGTGCTGCCGCGGGCCGCGGCCGGAGCCGCCGTTCCGCCGAGGGGCGGCTGGCTCGCTAGTGCCTGCTGGGCTCGCCAACAACTCCAGATCCTCCTGGATCGTCGGTGTCATTGTGTCGACTGCCGTGGGGGCTGCACGCCTCGGCTTGGCCACCATGGCGCCTGTTTGGTGGCTTCGAGAAATGCCTGCCGAGTGGCCAGCGCCCCCAGCCTGTGTATCCAAGAACGCGTTCACTGACTGGGCTGGGTAGGCCGGTAGACGTGTTCTTGGCGCCCATCCAAGCCCATGAACGCAGCACGGCGCAGCAGTGGACGATGGCCTCTGCAGCTTTGCGGCCTCGGCAGGCTCCGACGTCCAATACACTGCGCCACACACACCCAGATCACTTGGCGAGCCATTGAGCGCTTGCCTCCGCACCCAGCGAAACCTCCCCGCCGCTCCCGTGCAGCCACCCGCCCCCGTGCGATGCGATACTGACCCGTGTCTCCCATGGAGGGCGCAGCTCCCGCGGAAAGGCCCAAAAGGCGGGCAAAGAGCCCTGCCGGGCTGGACCTCTACTTCACCATCACCTCTGCCTCCCGGCTGGGCGCTGACGAGTCGAGCGACGACGAGGTGGATGCACCGCAACCAGCAGGCAATGCCAGTCGCCAGCTGCCGCCGCGCCGCCAGCTGCTGCCAGTTGCCGCCCTGTGACGGTCTCACCTCTCACCAAGCAGCCCCCCTCCCTCTTGCCTGGCCTGCTGCAGCTGAGACGTCCAGCCGTCCCAACTGCCGCTCCTCCCCAGAGCAGGCGGAGTCGCCTGTGGTGAACACCATGCCGGGAGTGGATTACGTGGGTGCAGGCACTGCTGCTTCTTCAATTCTTACCGCTGTCTGTACCTGCCCAGCCCCCCGCGTGTCCACCCTGCGAGCACTCTCATTCCATCTGCTGTGTGTTGTGCTGCAGGTTCCTGACACGCCCGAAGACGACTCGGCGCTGGCAGCGGTGGCCGCCGCCGGCGAGGCCGGCTGCGGCGACCTGCTGAAGCAGGCCCTGCGCAGGTCGGCAGAGAAGGGCAGGGCGGCTACCAGCGCGCAGCAGCAGGAGCAGCAGCCGCAGCAGGAGCAGCAAGCGGCGGCGGCACGGCCCGACGTGTCCACAGCGGCACAGGCGCAGGCATCTCCACCCTCCTCCCCATTCACTCGTGACCTAACCAACCACCAGCTGCCTGCCGCCGCCTCGCTGCGGCAGCAGGGGGGAGCCACAGCGCAGCCGGCGCCCCATTGCCAGAAGCTCGGCGCAGCGCTCCATGCGCGCGGAGCTACACCAGGACTTCCGCAGCAGCAGCAGCAGCAGTGGCAGCAAAGGCAGCACCACAGTGTGGGCCAGGCAGCAACCCACATGCCGCTCATCGGCGCAGCCTCTGAACCCATCCCGCTTGCGCAGCAGCAGCAGCAGCAGCAGCGTCAGCAGCCGCGGGCCAGCTTCTTGGCAGGTGCTAAAGCCGCGCTGCAGGAGGCCAGCGGTCCCGGGTCGCAGACTGTGCACGCCAGCCCCCGCCCCACTGCCAAGCAGCCCCACCCGCCCGCCAGGGCGGGCCAGGTGCCGCAGCTGGCGCTGCGCCGCTCCCCACTCGCCCTGGCAGCGCTGCCTGCGGCCCCAGGCAGCGCTTTGGCGGGGCAGGTAGCCGCGCCTCTGGCGGCGCCAGGGTTGACAGACAGGACGCCGCAGGGGCAGCTGGGCCTGCGCCGCACGCCAGGCACCCTGCAGGCACCTCCGACTGGCACAACGGATGGAGGCGTGTCCGCTGTGTCAGGTGGGGCAGCTGGTGCAGCATGCTGGAAGCCCCAACTGGCACAAGCAGGCCTGCTAGGCTATGCTAGGCATCCTCCCAACCATTGTTCTCGAGCATCCCACACCCTGCCCGTGTGTGCAGACGTGGACTCGGATTTTCTAAACCGGATAGCCTCCCTGGAGCGCAAGCATGCCGTCGCCCACACCAGCAGCGACCCTCAGCAGCAGCAGCAGCAGCAGCAGCAGGTGCTGCCTGTTGTGCAGCACGCAGCGCTAGGCCAGCAGCAGCTGCAGCAGCCGCCAGTGGCGCCTGGCCACCAGCCCCTGCTGCAGCAGCAGCCGGCCCAGGGCAGTGTGCCGGAGCTGCAGGTGCATGAGCTGGCACCAGCAGAACCGCCTGCTGCGCCAGTTGTGCTGCCAGCACCGCCCAGCGATGGGCCACTCAAGAGCGGCTGGTCTGACACCCCTGACTCTGCCTGCTTGGCCATGATGGATTGCCTGGAGCAGCAGGCAGCCGACAGGCTGGCAGGAGCAGCAGCAGGCGGTGCCGGCACGGCTGACGGCTCCCCCGTGCCCGCCCGCCAGCTCAGCTTCACCCCCACAGGGCATGGCGTGAGGGCAGCGGGGGCTGGCGCCGCTCCAGGGTCCACGCCACTCAGCTCCGGTGGGCGGCCAAGCAACCTGCCCACCTCACACTTGGGGCGTTCCGCGCTGCAGCAGGCTGCTGCTGCGGCGGTGGCGGGATTGCAGCAGGAGGGCCAGCCAGCCCTGGTGCAGGCAGTGGAGCAGGAGCAGCAGGTGTTGGTCCCGGAGCAGCAGCCAGTCGCCCCTGCCCTGCACCAGCATGCACCGCCAATGGCACAGCAGCAGCAGCCGCTGGCAAAGCTGGCAGAGTCCGGCCAGAAGCGCTCCCTGGCGGCATCCATCGCGCTGGAGCAGCTGGCTGCGCAGCACTCACCTGCTGCTGCTGCCAGGCAGCAGAAGGAGCAGCCGCACGCGGGCTTGCCCCCGACAGATCAGGGGCATGCCAGCAAGAGGTTGCGGGTGGGAGGTTCGCAGCCTGCCACGCAAGCGCCGCTCCCCTATGCGCAGCAGCAGCAACAGCAGCAGCAGCAGCAGCAGAACCCGCAAGCGGTAGCCGCAGCGGGTGGCCAGCCGCCTCTCAGTGCTCCCGCCCCGTCGCATGCCGCCGGACCGACGGCTGTGGCGATGGAGGATGCTGCCGCCACTTTCGATTACCGTGAGCAGAGGAGCAGCTGGTGCTGTGCTCATAGATGGATGCGTGGTGCTGGCTGCGCTGCACCTGCATTCATCGTTCGCTGTGCTCCCCGCCTGCTCGACCTGAGGTGAACCGTGCACCTGCCCTGCTGCCTGCCCGTTTTGCTTCCTTGCAGTGTGCAGCGATGATGAGAGTGAGGATGAGGAGGCGGACCGAAACCTGCCCCTGCTCTCCCAGTACATGCAGTCAGCGGGCAGGTCGCCGCAGCAGCTGCGCCGACAGCAGGAGGAGCGGCGGCAGCGGGCAGGCAGCAGGAGCCCGGGTGGCGAGGGGCGCTCGCCGCAGGGTGGCGAGGGTGCACCGGCATCGCGCAGCCCGCTGCTGGGGCAGGTGCAGGAGCAGGGGCAGGCGAGCCCCCTGCTCTCGGCCGACCTCGCCATGCTAGGTGCGAGGCAGGCAGGCTGGCTGGGCTGAGCGAGGCAGTTGGGAAGCAGCCGTGTGCTGCAGCAATGCATGCGTGTTCCTGCTGCCTGCAACTGCCCGCCACCTGTCGGGTTTCACAACAGCTGCGTCCCCATCTTCCCTCCTGCAGAGTCCTACCTGTCCACAGACCTGGCGGCCGCCTTCCGCACCATCACTGGCATCACCGGCCGCCTGTACGACTGGCAGGCAGAGTGCCTGACGACACCGGGCGTGCTGCACGTGAGCGCCGGGCGGGGCTGGCAGGCGGCGGTGCTTACATGTGGTTAGCCCCTGCTGCCTGCTTTCCAGCTGACAACTTAGGTTGTTGCTGCTGCGCCTCTGCCGGGCCAGGCTGCAGAAAGGCACGCCTATGGCCCACCGCTTCTTGCAGTGATGAGCACCTGCCTGCCTGCCTGCTTGCCTTCCATTCCTGCAGGGCAAAAACCTTATCTACTGCGCGCCCACCAGCGGCGGCAAGAGCCTGGTGGCGGAGGTGCTGATGCTGCGCCGCATCCTGACCACCAACCGCCCCGCCATGCTGGTCCTGCCCTTTGTGTCCATCTGCTCCGAGAAGAGCGAGCACCTGAGGTGGGCAGGGGGTGGGGGTGGGGGGTGGGGACGGACGAGCTTGTGGATGGCACAGCAAGCGGCTGGTGTGCTGGCACCTCTGACCGGCAGCTGGGTGTGGAACAGCAGGCAGGCATGGAGGCGGGCGGGCGGGCACCCGGTGCATTCCTGGCCACCTCATGCGGGCGACGCCTGAGTCGCCGCGCCGTGCTGGCCGTGGCATGCGTACGCGTGCAGCAAGGTCCTGGCAGCCATCAACAAGGAGGTGAAGGAGTTCTACGGCGGCAGCCACAGCCACGCGGCGCTGACCCAGACCACCGGCGTCATCGTGTGCACCATCGAGAAGGCCAACATCATGTGGGTGGCGGCGGGTGGCGGTGCCGCGTGTTGTGGCGGGATGCCGGGAGGCGCGCGCGAGTGGTGCCGGGTGCATGAGGAGGGATGGGAGGCGGGGCCGGGCTGGGGCTTTTTGCTAACGTGGCATGAGAGATGGTGGGGCCACTGGCGCATCTCACTCATGACGGCAGACAGACCTTGCCGCCATCGGCCCTTTGCTGCCTCGTCTCCCTCCGCAAACCTAGCCACCACATACACTTTCTCTGTCAGACACACACACACACGCCGCCTGCAGCATCAACCGCATGCTGGAGGACCAGAGCCTGGGCCTGCTGTCGTGCCTGGTGGTGGACGAGCTGCACATGGTGGGGGAGGAGGAGCGGGGCTACCAGCTGGAGCTCCTGCTCACCAAGCTCAGGTGAGGGCGATGGGGACCGGTAAGGAAAAACAACCAGCGTGAGGGAGGTGCGTGGCAGGGTAGGGTGCGGACACGGGCATGGTGCGGCGGGAAGAGGCCAAGAGGATGTGTTTTTTGTATCGCAGGTATGCGGCGGCTGCTGTGGATGACGAGGACGACAACTACCTGTCGGAGGGCCTGCAGATCATCGGCATGTCTGCCACGCTCCCAAATGTGGACAGGGTGGCCAAGTGAGTGCCGGGGATTGGGCTGGCGGGCAAGGCCCTGGGCAGGTGTCTGCATGCAACGGGCAGGCGCCTGCATGTCTCCTGCCCTTCCGTGTTTGCTGCACTGGCGGCTACCGACGGATGGGCCCGGGCCTCTTCTGTAGCAGATGGATGTTTGAAAGCCCGTGTGTCGCCCCACCCACGCAGGTGGCTGAATGCGCAGCTGTTTGTCACAGACTTCCGCCCGGTGCCGCTGCAGTCATTCATGAAGCAGGCAGGGCCGCTGCCGCCAGCCTCTGGGTCCACCTGGCGCGCCTGGGATGGCACGCGCCTGTTGGTTCCGTGCTGCTGCCGCTCGTGCTTGCATAGCCTGCGACTCAGGCAATGCTGGCGGGACCCTCCCATGATTGAACTTGTCCCCCCCACCTCCCCTGAGCAGGGTCTGAGCATCAAGAACGAGGCGCTGGAGGTGGTGCGCACGCTGGAGGTGCCGCAGGGCTGGGACACCAGCAAGACAGGGGTGCGCCGCTGGGATAGCTGCTTCGCATTGCTGCCGGGCTGCTCCCGGCTGCTTTAGAGGCCGGTGTGGTGGTTGTGCCTTGGCAGCCGGGCAGCCGCTGCCCCTACCGGTGGCAGGCGCACGCTCTCCTCCGTGCCTGCCTATTGTAGCCCATGCCCTGCATCCTCCACTGCTGCTCCCGCCCTTGCCACCTGTACAGGACAGCGACCACGTGGCACTGCTGGCGCGGGAGACGGTGGAGGGCGGGCACAGCGTGCTCATCTTCTGCGGCACCAAGAAGGCGTGCGAGAGCATGGCCAGGCGGGCGGCCAGGTGGGCGGGGAGCTGCGGGAGGTAGCAGCCGCTGGCGCAGCCGGAAAGAGGCAGTTTCGGGCGGCAGCGGCAGGCAGGGTTGGGCGCTGGCTGTGCGGCAGCAGTTGGAGAGCAGGCGACCGGGTCCCTGCAGCTCATCACCTATGCTTTCCCACCACCCATGCCGCTGCTGTAGGATGCTGGACATTCCGGAGCGCGAGCTGCGGCTCAAGGGCTGGACCGCCAGCCAGCGCCCCACCCGCGCCTCCCTGCTGGGAGACCTGCGCCGCGTGCCCGGCGGCGCCGACCCGGCCCTGCTCGAGTGCTTCCCACGTGGCGCCGCTTTCCACCACGCAGGTGCGGTGCCAAGGGAGGGCGGGGGCCACGACTGCCAGCTGCATACAGGCAGGCCCGGCTGCTGTCGCTGCTGGTGGCGCGCTGCCAATGGGCTGTTACAACAGGCAGGCAGGCAGGCAGGCAGGCAAGGCAGGCAGCTCCTCAGTTGGAGCGCCCGCCCGCACGCACGCCACCTGCCCCTGGCGTCCCTCCTGCCTGCTGGTCCACCGCTCCGCTCCCGCCCGCGCATCCCTTGCCTCCCCTGCAGGCCTGAGCAGCGAGGAGAAGGACATTGTGGAGACAGCCTACCGGTGCGGCGCGGTCAGCGTGCTGTGCGCCACCTCCACGCTGGCGGCAGGGGTCAACCTGCCCGCCAGGAGGGTCATCATCCGCCACGCCTACAAGGGCCGCTCCGCCAACGTCATCGACGGCACCTGGTGCGCCGAGCGTGCATGGCCGGCGGCTGCGGGAGGCCAGCCTGCCTGCCGGGGCTGGCAGCTGCCTGCACTGCCAGCTGTACGCTTGCAACGCTTGCGGTACCTGCTCTGTGACCCTCTGCCTCTCCTCCTCGTTTCCCGGCCCGCAGCTACCGGCAGATGGCGGGGCGGGCGGGGCGGGCGGGCATCGACACCCACGGCGAGTGCGTGTTGATCAACCAGGAGATTGGGGTGGTGGTGGGAGAGAAGCTCTTCACCTCGGGAGCCTCGCCCGTGCAGAGCTGCCTGGTGGATGGCAAGAAGGGTGCGTGGCTGCCGGGCTGCTGGGCTGGGTGCGCTGCATGTGTCGGGGCTGGCAGCACAGGCTGGCATGTGGGCGGTTTGCTGCAGCGACGGCCGACCTGTAGGCTGGTGGGAAAGTTCTAATGCCCACTTGCTGCTGTCCACAGCCCCTGCCGGTGCACTCGCTTCCCATGCAGGCCGCTCATCTGCATGCTGCCCTCCTGCCCTGCCCCTCCTCCTGACCACCTGCCTCGCCCGCCCAGCCTGGCCTGCAGGCATGAAGCGCGCGATGCTGGAGGTGGTGGTTAGCGGGGTGGTTGTGGAGCCGTCTGATGTGGAGCGATACATCCGCTGCACGCTGCTGGCTGCCATGAACGACTATCAGGTGGGCGTCTTGGCCAGGCTGGCTTCTTGGCCTTGTGTTTGCTGTCGAACATGCAATGTGCGGCGCCTGCTTGCTGCTGCCGCCCAGCGCTCCTTAACTCTTCACATGGCGCCATCCTACCACAAACAGCAGAAACACACCATCCCGCCCCCCCCCTCCCGCAGAAAGTGGCAGACACCACGATTGCGGCGCTGCGCTGGCTGGGCGCGCGGGACCACACATTCATCTACTGGGACGACGCCTCGCGCACCTACCAGCCCACGCCCTTTGGCAAGGCGGTGCTGGCCAGCGGGCTGCCGCCGGAGCAGTGCCTGGTGCTCAAGGTGTGGCGGGGGGAGATGCAGGGGCGGTGGGTGGACAGAGGTAGGTGGGAGATGGCGGGCATGGGGCGCGGCTGTGACCGCAGGCAGCCACACGTGCAAGCCTGGTGGAGCCAAGTGCACATGCTGCAAGCTGCTTAAGCCAACGGTGCTGCCCGCTTGGAAAGCGGCCCGGCGCTGGGCTGTGCCCCTGCATCACTCCGACAAGCCGCTGCTCCCCTGCATGTTCTTATTCCTGCTTGGTAAACCATGTGCAGGACGACCTGGCCCGCGCCCGGCAGTCGTTCGTCATGACTACTGAGCTGCACCTCACCTACCTGTGCGTGCCCGTCACCGAGAGCCTGGCCTTCTTGGACTGGAAGAAGTTTGAGGTCATGCTGGGCACGCTGTCGGTGCGCCGAGGTGGCAGGGCGCCGAGCTGGCTCCGCCGTGCATGCTGACGTGGCGCCGGCATGCACGCTGGGCTCTGCCGGCAGCGCTGCGAGCTGGCGCTGCTGTTGCTAGCGTGGGTTGCGCGGCGGGGCTGTGTGCCGGGCAGGGGTGGCTCGGCATTCTGCAGCCCAGCGCTGCCCGCCTGTCTGCCCGCCTGCCTGCACCTCTTTCCTGCACAGGGCCCTGACGCCTCTGTGGCCACCAAGGTGGGGGTGGACCGTGCCTTTGTGATGCGGGTGGCGCGCGGCATGCGGGGCGGCGCCCAGGGTGAGTCCAGAGCCAGGCCGGGCTGAGCCATTACACAACTGTGATGCAGCATCTTCGGCGCTCCGTGAGCCCTAGCCCAGCTCCAATCCAGCAACTCTTCATCTCCGCATGCCTGCGTGCTGCCCGCTGCCGCCCCGGCGTCCCTGCTGCGCAGACGGCGACAAGGAGCGCATCTGCAAGCGCTTCTGGATGGCGCTGATCCTCACAGACATCATTGCAGAGGCGAGCAAGGGAGGCTGCCTCTCCTGTGCTGTCGTGTCCTGCCGCTGATGGGGCTGCCAGGCGCCGTGTGCTCAGCATGCCCTGCCTGCTGCTGGTGCTGATCTGCCCGCCATCTCGGCATGACACTCTTCTGTTTTGAGCCGAGGAGCTTCTCTTGCGGCGGCGGCGGCGCTGCTGCTTGCAGGTCGACGTCCTGACGGTCCAGAAGAAGTATGCTGTGGGGCGGGGCGAGGTGCAGAACCTGCAGGACCATGCCGCGCGCTTTGCCTCCATGGTGGCCGCCTTCTGCGAGCGCCTGGGCTGGTACGATCTGGAGGCGCTGATAGTCAAGTTCCAGGTGTGGAGTTGAAGACGTGGCTAGTCTGTGTGTGTGCTGGGCATGTGGACTGGAACAGGGCGCTGCAGAGCGGGTTAGGGTGGGTGGTCTGATGCGGAGCGTAAACTGAGCAGCTGTTGGCCACCCTCCGCCGCAGAGCCGCGTGCTGCACGGCGTGCGCCCCGAGATACTGGCGCTCTCCGAGATACCCTTCGTCAAGGCCTACACCGCCCGCCTGCTGTACCGTGCAGGCCTCAGGTGCGGCGCCCGCCTGCTGCCCTGCCAGCGCCGCGTATGGCTGCAGCAGATGTTTGGCTTGATGCAATGCATCTTTGTCTGTGTGTGCCGCCCATCAGCACAACATCACTGTTGCGCTATCCACTGACCCAAGTCCACACGTGCTGTGCAGGACACCCGAGGCTGTGGCGGCTGTGGAGAATGTGGACCAGATTGTTTCCATCCTGGCCAATCAGCAGAGCAGCAACCCGTGAGCAGGCGCTGCGTGCGGTGCCCACAGGGTCGGGGAGCCAGCAAAGCAGCCGTGCAGGTGGCATCGACAGTGTGCAGCAGGTTCTCGTTTTGCGGTCTGGCCACCAACCTTGCTTGGCTCTTTTCTTTACTGCAGGGATAGCGGCAACCCGCTCCTGGTGCGGCGCCAGGCGCTCAAGATACTGCGAGGCGCCCGCGAGCTGCTCAACCGGCGGGCCAGGGAGCTGCGGGAGCAGGCGGAGGCTGCCTTCAAGCTGGTTGAATCGGCAGACAGGACGGAGCTCGCGCACGGCGAAGCAGAAGGAACAGCAGCAGCAGCAGGCGCAGACGACAAGGAGGAGGGGGAGGAAGAGGAGCAGCGTGAGGCCCGGGATGGTGTGGAGGCGCCCACGCCCGTCGTGGCAGCACGGGGGGAAGAGGGAGGGAAGCAGGCCGGCGGTGCTGCAGCTGGAGCAGGCCAGGCAGCTGGGACGAAAGGGCGTGGCGGTGGGCCCACCTCTGGGCGCTCAGCAAGGTCTGGCCAGTCTGCTGGCAGTGGCGGCGCCGTGTCGGCGGCCACGGCTGCAGCGGCAGCACCAGATGCGGGCAGCGATGGCGATGGTGAGGAGCTTCTGGAGGCGGCCCCCGAGCCTGTGCTGCCCCCAGACCCTTGGCAGTACGGCGCCCAGGCTGGCGTGCACTGCCTGGATACTCCAGATCTGGTGCGCCAGCTGTGCAGCGTCGTGCTGGCGCAGGTGCCTGGACCCCAGCAGCTGCAAGGCCTGCACCAACAACACCAGGGCCAGCAGCAGCAGCAGCAGCAGCGGCATGAATTCTTTGGGTTCCATTTCGACACGGTGGTCGTCGGCAGCGCAGCGGGGGCGGCAGCGCTGCTTCCCAAAGGGCCCACCGCGGCGCAGCGCCGCGACCACGCCTTGCACGACCGGCAGTCTGCGGGGTTGGGGGTGCGCCTGGAGGGCGTGGCCGTCAGCTGGCGCAGCGGCCAGGCCTTCTACGTGCCGCTGCACCGCCGCGACGACCTGCTGGCTGAGCTGCGGCCGCTCTTTTGGTCGGCGGCAGTGGAGAAGGCAACATGGGACCTGCGCGGGCAGCTGGCGGCGCTAGCCAAGGTGCTGGGCCCCGGGGCGCTGGGCGTGCCGGGCGATCAAGCGGCGGGTGAGCCTCCAGACGCGGCTGCAAAGCCCCTGCCAGCCAAGGCAGCTTGGCGTGTAGCTGCATGCATGTGTCCCGCTGTGGTCGTCGCTGCCACGCCTGTCGCCGCGCTGCTCCTGCAGCAGCGGCCAGGTGGCCCGGCCCGCAGCCCTGCTGACGCCCTCATGCATGCGCGCTATTGTGCAGGCTGCCCGCTGGCGCTGCGCGACCCTTTGGTGGATGTGCGGGTGGCTGCCTGGCTTGGCACGCCCGACGACGGGCGGCTCAAAGACGAGAGCAGCCACAGCGTGGGCAGCGGGCGCAAAGAGCCTTACACGCTCAGCGACATGCTCAAGTGAGTGGAGGTGGGGAGGAGGTTTGATGAAGTCAAGTGGGGAAGTGGGACGCTTGAGTGAGCTGGGGTGAAGGAGCTCCGAGGGCAGGCTGGGCAGCGGCTGGAGTGCCAGCCGGCAGCTTGCGTGGCACCTGGAGAAAGCTGTGGATGTGGCTCTGTGTCTCGCTCCTATGCGTCGGTCTCGCTCCCAGGCTTGCCACCTGCCTGGTGTGACATTGCGTGCAGGATTCGTGGCGGGCAGGCGGTGTGGGCTGAGGCCACCCAAGGCATGCAGGCCAGCACGGCAGCTTCGGGCGCACGGCGTGCCGATGCTGGGCGGCGCGCTGCTCAGGCCCGCAAGATGTGGCAGCTGCTGCGTAGCCGCCTGCGGGGCGACGTGAGTGTGGTACCGCTGTTGCCAGCCCCAGCACCTGTCACTCGACAGCCTATCAGTCGATGGCCCACCACCGCTTGCAACCTTCCTGCCCTGCTTTTCCGCCAACCCGCGTGCCCCGCTCTGCCTCCCCTGCCTGCTCATCTCAACACCCAACCCCTCCTCCACGCCTATACCTGCGACACCTGCAGGAGCTGCTGCCTCCGCTGTGGCGTACCGAGATGCCGCTGGTGCGAGTGATTGTAGACATGGAGGCAGCGGGGCTGGCGATCAACGAGGCAATCCTGAACACAGGCAGGCCATGCCGGCACGGGTGCTTCTCGTGCCATCCCTCTGCTTGTACCGGCCCGCATGCTGAGCACAGTTGCGGCGGCAGCACGTGGTCTGCAACACGCGGCACTGCCATGCCCATCCCTGCCTGTCCACACACGCCTGCCTGCCTGCCTGGCTGTGGCCGGTGCAGAGGAGCCGATGCTGCAGCGCCGTATTGAGGAGCTGGAGGGCATGGCGCATGCCGAGGCAGGGCAGGAGTTCAGCCTGAGCTCGCCGCAGGAGGTGGGCTTGGTGGTGAAGGGTGTGCAAGGCAGGCGGCGGGAGGGCGCTAGCGCCCTTGCCTAGCAGCAAGCTCTGCGCCAGCTCCCTGCTGGCCCTGCCTGCATGTCAGTGCAGGTCCATACGTCCCCGCCCTCTAACCTATCTCCTCCTCCTGCTATGCATGCTGTGCATTGGGGTTCTTCCCCTGCAGGTCAGCCGCATCCTATTCGAGGTGCTCAAGCTGGCGCCGCCGCCCTGCGCCAAGGACCTCAAGAGCGGCGGATATTCCACTGGCCAGGAGGTGCGCCTGCCTTTGTGTAGTGCACGTGTGCGTGTATGGGAGTATGGGGGTGAGGTGGCGTGGACTGGGCTGCAGGGCTGGCTTCAGGCGGCAGCGGCGGCGGCGTGTGATGTGCATGGGGGTGGGTGGGCGCTCTCCGCCGCTGCATGCCGGCTGGGCAGCGCTGAGGAGGCGCCTGCCCACCTGCATGTGCACCATACACACGCATGCACGCCCCTTTGACGCAATGCCCCACTGCTGGCCCCTGTCCCCCTTCCCCCTGCCCCTTTCCCCCTCCCCCTGCCCCCTTGCCCCTGCCACGCCACTGCCGGGAGCAGGTGCTGCTTGAGCTGCACGAGCACCCCATCGCCCGCCTTATCTTCGAGCACCGCAAGCTCAGGACGCTGCTCAACAGGCAAGGCGGGCCTGGATTGCTCCCGTGTGCCGCACACCTGGCCTTCTCCCACATTGTTTTTGAGACCTGCTCAACAGGGCATCGATTGAATGCTGAACAGGCAGCCGAATGGCGAGCCGACCAGGCAGCTGTCGCACCAAAGCTCTCGGCATCCCTCCTCCTGCCGCCGCCGCCATCCACCCCGCAGGTTTGTGCAGGGCTTCAAGATGCACCTGGCCTATGCCGAGGCTGTGAGCTACCCCGGCGGGCTGGTGCTGAAGCGCATCCGAGGCTCCATCAACCAGACCTGTACAGACACAGGCGAGGCGGGCTGCTGCGCTGCAGGGACCCTTCCCCAGCGGCGAGGCGGGCTGCTGCGCCCGCCCCCACTGCTGCTGCGACTGGGGATCGCCGTCACCGCTGCCGCCGCCAGCGCTGGTCCAATGGCTGCTCAGCAGGGGACGCGGCGGATGCTGCTGGGGACAGCAGGCGCCACGCCATGCTGCCCACCCGTCCACACTCACGCACCCTCTGCACGCTCACACACACACGCACACGCTGCACCCTCCTCCCGCAGGCCGTCTGGCCATGGATGAGCCAAACCTGCAGTGCGTGCCCAAGCCGCGGGCCTACAAGGTCCTGCTGACGCCCGGGGAGCTGGGCTCCGCGGCCAGTGGCGCCAGCGCCCATGCCGACCGCACCGCCAACCTGCGCGCCGCGTTTGTGGCGCCGCCGGGCTGCGTGCTGCTGTCGGGTGGGCGCAGGCAGCGGCCGGGGGCAGCCTGGCGGGCTGGCAGGGAGCGGGAGCCGCGGAGCAAACGCCGCACAGCCACGGATGCGTGGCTGCAGCCCTCCGGGGAGAGACAGGCTCCCGCTGGCTGCCTGCTGCTGGCGCAACCCCGCTGCGCAGCGTCGCGCCCGCCCTGCCGCCGTCCAGTGTATCATCCGCCCCGCTCTGCCGCTCCCACCCGCCGCGCCGGGGCTGCTCCCACCTTCCAGTGTTCCCTTCCACTGCTCACCAAACCACTCGGCCGCCTGCCTGCCCCTCCGCCTGCCGTTCCCGCCTTCCACCATTCCCTCCCGCCACTCACCACACCACTCGGCCGCCTGCCCGCCCCTCCGCCTGCAGCCGACTACCGCCAGATCGAGTTCCGCCTCATGGCGCACTTCAGCGGCGACCCGGGCCTGGCCCGCGTCTTCTCGGAGGACGGCGCCGACCCCTTCCGCCTGCTGGCGGCGCAGTGGCTGGGCGCACCGCAGGAGCAGGCGCGCCCGCGGGGCTGGCTGGGGCGGGGCCGTAGGGGGGTATTCAGAAGGGGTAGGGGGGTAAAGAGAAGGGGCCCTGCTGCTGGGGGTCGCGGCGGTGTCGGCGCGGCCGGGGCTGGAGCTGCTGCAGGGGCCCGGCGCCCCGAAGCCTGCGGCCCGGCGGCTCCCCAGGCGGCTGCAGCGCTCCGCCGTGCCTGAACAGGCCCACCGTTCTCCCCGCTGCCCGCTCCACACACCACCCTGCTCACTCTGCACCCCATCCCGACCTTGCCCCATGGTTCCCATCCCACCCTGCCCTGTCACCTTGGTGTGTTGGCCCTGCCTGTGCCTGTCTGCAGGTCACCCAGCAGCAGCGGGACCATGCCAAGCAGCTGACGTACGGCCTGCTGTACGGCATGGGCGCCGCCAAGCTGGCGGACGAGCTCGGCTGCAGCGTGGCGGAGGCCAGGACCGCGCAGGTGCGGCGGCAGCGGCGGCGACGGCGGCCTGCAGCCGCCCGCTGCGCTGGGGTCGCGCCCAGGTGCCGGGCGTCGGTGCAGCCCCAGCCGCAATGGCGCGCACCGGAAGCCGCGCCAGGCAGCGGGCGGCAGGGGTGGCGCGGGCGCCTGCCCGTCCAGGCCCCACGCCAGCCTGTCCGTTCCCACCTCGCGCCAGCCTGCACTTTCGGACGTCAAGCAGCCTGCCCGTCCAGCCCTCAAGCCAGCCTCGGTTGCTCCCCTCACCCCCCACCCTCCCTCCTGTGACCCACCCGGACCGCTATGCGAGCAGGAAAAGTTCCGGGCCAGCATGCCGGGCATCGAGGCGTGGCAGGCGCGGGTGGTGGCCGAGTGCCGGCGCCTGGGCTATGTGGAGGTGGGTGGGTTGGCGGGGTGGAGGGGGAGGAGCATGCTTCACCTGGAAGAGAAAGGGAGGGGCATACCTCACCTGACGTGCACAGCATACACAGCATACGTGCCTCCCGGCCTCCCCTCTTACACACCCACCGCCTCACAGCCTCACCGCCCTGGACCCTGCCCCCTCCCCTCCCCCTCCCTTGCCCTGCTGCCAGACGCTGGCCGGGCGCCGCCGCTACCTGCCCAACATCAACTGCCGCGACGGCAGGAAGCGGGCGGCGGCGGAGCGGCAGGCCAAGAACACCGTGTGCCAGGTGCGGCAGCGGCGGCGGCGGCGGCGGTGCTGCGTGCGCGTGCGGTGTGTGCGTGTGCGGTGTGTGTGTGTGTGTGGTGTGTGTGTGCTGTGTGTGTGCGGTGTGTGTGTGCGCGGTGTGTGCATGTGTGGTGGCAGTGTGCTGGTGCCGGGAAGCGAGGGGAGCCCACATGCACCAGCTCTGGAGCGTGGTGCAGCCATAGGCCATATGGCAGGCTGCCGCCTGCCTCAAGGGCAGTGCCCACTCGCCTCCCACCCTGCCTTGTACTCCCCTCTTGTCTCCTGCCGCCCTCTGGAGCTGACCCCTGCTTTCTGCGCCCTGCCGCTGCCCTCTGCTGCCCCACTGCACATCTCTGCAGGGCTCTGCAGCTGACCTGGCCAAGGCCGCCATGGTTGCCATCCACACGCGGCTGGCGGCATGGCTGGCACTTGGGAGTGGCGGCAACTGCGGCTGCGGCGGCGGGCCCGGCGGCGGCCCCGCGGCGCGCCTCGTGCTGCAGATTCACGACGAGTTTCTGCTAGAGGTGGCGGGTGGGTGCACTGCCTGCCTGCCTGCCTGCCTGCGTTTTGTGGTGGCGGGAAGCATGTGCGGTTGGGTTGGGTGCATGCATGGCTGCGGGTGCCTGCCTGCCTGCCTGCCTTCACACTCCCCCACCCACACACACACACACGCGCACACCCGCAGAGCCCCTGCTGGAGCCTGTGGCCCGCCTGGTGCGCGACTGCATGGAGGGCCTGGCCTCGGGGGTGCGCCTGCGCGTGCCGCTGCGCGTGCGCCTGGCGGCGGGGCCCTCCTGGGGGGAGCTGCAGCCCGTGGAGCTGGGGCGGTGATGATGCGGCGGACCCCGCCTGCTTGGAGCCTTGGATGACCTTGCAGCCGCCGCCGCGTGCGCGACCAACCCCTTGACCCTAGCCTCTCATTCAACCGACGACTGACGACGTGGACCGACACACTCTCTCGACCGCAACACTGCTCTACTCTTCCCGTGACACCTGCTTCTTGCGCCAATCTAATTCATGATCCTTTCCCTGCTCGACTGTCAACCGCTCAACCGTGATGCACCAACCGCTTCCTCTCTCCCGCTTCCTTCCCTCTCTCGTTGACCCTTCCCCCAGCTGGGCCCCCGCTGCAAACTGTGGCCTATTGCACTAAGTTAGGACGCCAATCGGAATGAAATCAGGTGTGACAGCATTGCAAAAGAATCGCTAGCGCGGGCGGCAGGCCGGCGTATCGTCCCGGCAGCCTGGCAACCCCCGCCGCAGAGGCGCTCCTACTGCTTGGAGAAGCAGAGGCGCTCCTACTGCTTGGAGAAGTATTCCTGGCTTTCCTTGGGGTTGGGCTTGATGGTGGCGGCGCCCTCCTGCCAGTTGGCGGGGCACACCTCGCCGTGCTCATCCGTGAACTTGAAGGCCTTGAGCAGGCGCAGGGTCTCGTCCACTGCGCACGCCGGGAGGGGCAGGGGCACGCGCGGGGGCGGAAGCAGAGGCAGGGTGGAGGAATGTCAGGGCAGGACACAGGGCAGAGTGGGGGGCAGGGGGGTGGTGTGAGCCCGAGGAGCCCAGGGAGAGGCAGGGAGGGCGTCGCAGCACCGCCGCCGGCCCCCGGCTCCCCGCTGCTCAGCCTGCCACTACGCGTCGTCGTCCCAGCCCGCTACCTGCTGTTTTCTGCCGGGACCAGCCCGGGTCCGCAGTGCCACACCCCCCACAGCCCCGCCCTCCATGACCACCGCCAAGCCACACACATACGCCCCCCGCACTCACCGCTGCGGCCCACGGGCAGGTCGTTGACGGTCTTCTGGCGCAGGCGGCCGTCGGGGCCGATGATGAAGAGGCCGCGCAGCGCCACGCCTGCGTTCTCGCCCTCCTCAATCAGAACCTCGTAGTCCTGTGGGTGGGAGGGTGGAGGGAGGGCTGAGGGGAGGGGTGAGGCGGGGAGGAGGGCGTGGGAAGGATCGGCAAAGGGCGCATGGCGAGGGCCAGGAGCCAGGAAGCAGCTTGCAGGGCAGGGCCGGGGGTGGTGAAACCAGCCGCGGGGCCACCCCACCGCTGCCGCCTTTACCTTGGAGATGGACTTGGTCAGGTCTGCAGCAGAGCGGCCATGCAGGGCATGAAGGGCACGCGTCAGCAAACGACTCGAGGGCGCGCGGCAGCAGGCCAGTGCAGGGCAGCCAGAGGCGGCACGCATGCTTGCCGGTCGCCAGCTCAGGGTGCGACGCGAGCAGCAGGCAGGCTGCCAACGCGGCGCCACAACGGCATCGTGCCCACCTGCCAGCAGCGGGTAGCCCAGGCCGCCCAGGCCGCCCTTGTTGCGGGGCGTCTGGATCCAGGCCAGGTGGGAGAACACGCTGTCCACGCTGGCGCCCACCACCTGCGCCAGGCCAGGCGACGCGCGCGTGCAATCAGAGCGTGGGTGGAGGTGGAGCAGGCGGCGGCCTCCTCCCTCCCGCGTGGCCCTCCCACGCTGCCCCTCCCACTCCCCATGCACCCACCAACCCCAGGGCAAGCAACCAAGCCAGCCAGCCAGCCAGCCAAGCCAGCCAGCCAGCCAGCCAGCCAGCCAGCCAGCCAGCCAAGGCAGGCAGGCAGGCAGGCCCACCTCCACCCCGATGTCGCGGAACTCCTGGATGCGATCTGAGAAGGCGATGATCTCTGTGGGGCACACAAAGGTCCAGTCCAGGGGGTAGAAGAAGAGCACCACATACCTGCGACAGACAAGGGGGGCAGGGGCAGGGTTGGGGGGACGAGAGGAGGGCGGGGTGGGGTGCTGGGGGTGGATGGCAGGCAGGTAGGGTGTGTGTGCGGCGGGAGCACTAAATGGGTGGCCTGCACTGCAGCAGTGCGGCGGCTGTCTCCTGTGTGCCGCCCTGGCGCACTCACTTGCCCTTGTAGTCCGCCAGGGAGATGGACTTGAACTCGCCGTCCACCACGGCGGTGCCGCTGAAGGCGGGGGCTGCAGAAAAGGGCGGCGGGGGGGCGGCGGCGGCGGCGGCAGGGGCGGGGCAGTGAGGGGCGCCAGCAGGGGAGCCCGCGGCAGCGCGCAGTGGGCTCGGTGTAGGCGCAGTGGCGGCACCAGCCGCGCCCCAGGCCTCTCCGGCCAGCCTCCATGGTGTTTGCCCTGATCGCGCACACCAAAGGCGGTCTGAGCAATCCCAGGAGCCATCCGACCATGGCCAGAGGGGTCAGCAGCGCAATGCAGCTGGCCCGGCTGGTCACCTGCAGCTCCGATAATGGCGGGCATGGCGAGGCTGATCGACGGTCTTCACACCCACCAGGCAACTCAGGCGATCGGGAATTGGGTTTGCAATGGGCCGCTGGCCCATGCAGCGCCCTTGCGGCGCTGCATGGGCCCCGGAAGAAACCCCACTCACGTTTCCGTGGCCTGCCCCTGCGATAATCGCTCGCGGGGGCGCCCAGAACCTGTTCCCGATCCCCTCGTGTACCAAAGCGGCAGCCCTGATCCGGGCGTCGCTGCAGGGCTGAGCGGGAAGGCCCATCGTCTCTCAGCCCCCCTCTCTCACTTGAAGACCCCCGCTCACGCCCGATCAAGCCCGGCAACGCATATAGATAGGTGGGTGGTGGCGCGGCCGTCTTTGCGGGCCGTGTGCGCACTCACACCATGCCATGCCGTTTTGGCGGGATGTTTGGGCTCGCCCTCTCCCGACCCTCTCGCCGCCCGCGGCGCCGCTCTCCTGCCGCCCATTATTTTTTCATGATTGGGGCAGCAGCGGGGACGGCCTCTCTCGCGCTACCCGGCCCCGTTTGGCAGGGGGGAAGTGGGCATGAGGCGCCAGCCCACGCGCCCTCACGCCCCCACCTCAGGCGCTTGCCCCGCGTCCCAGAGGTTTCTCCGGGGTGCCCGATCGTTTGCTGACCCACCGGCCGCGCGGCATCCACCCTTGCTGCAGTCCCGCCAGCGAGACCAGCTGCCGCCCTCGCGCACCCTACCAGCCACACGCGCTTGAACTGTCGGGCAGCCCCTGCCGCCATGGCGTCGCCCTACACGCTGCAGCGCTCGTCGGCGTGCGGCAGCCAGTCGGTGGCCACCCCGGTGGCGCGGCGAGACCTCCACGCGCTGCGCAACGGCCAGGACAGCCTGGATAGCAGCCCGCGCTGCCCGCTGGCCTGGTCGCCGCCAGCCAGCTACGCGGCCGGCGCGACCGCGCCCACCAGCAGCAGCGGGTGCACCGACAGCGTGGCGCCGGAGCTGACGTGTCAGGAGCAGCTGGAGGGGCGGTGCAGCCCCGAGCGGGGCGCAGCCGAGGCGCTGGCGGCGCTGCCGCGCCCGCCCTCGCCGGCGGCCTGCCTGCGCGAGGCCAACCGCAGCGCCCAGGCGCCGCCGCTGCAGCCATTCTGCACCCCCAAGGCAGCCATGTATCAGTTCGGCAGCCCCCTGTGCAGCCCCGCACGGCCCAGCAGCCTGTCGCCACCTGGCGCCCACCTGGCCGGCGGCAGCCCGCTGGCGACGCCCCAGCCGCCGCTCAGGTGAGGGTGCGGCCCCGGCCACCCGCTGCGACACCACCTGCCTGCCGTGGCCTGCCGAGCGCACACCGCTGCGCCGGCAGCGCTTGCCACCGCGGCCGCCGTTGCGGCGGCGCTTCCTGCAAGCGTGTGTACCAGCAGATGGGATGACGTCACCCCCTGCAACCCCCTTTCCCGCCGCTTTTGCTCCGCAGCTTGTCCGGCGCCGCCGCGGCGCCCCCCTCGCCGCCGCTCGTCACCCTGTCTCCCCGCATCCTCCACGCCGGCCTGATGCGGCCCTGCAGCGTCAGGCTGACTGGCTCAGGCAAGCGCGGGGGCCGTGCACCGCCGCTGTTTGCGCCACCGTGTGCCTGGAAGGGCGCACCTCACCCGTCCACTCCCCGGCTCCCCCGCCTGCTCTGCTTGACTCCTCCTTGTGCTCCTCCCCGCCTGCAGTGCGCCTGTGCGGCGACCGAATCACTCCCATCCCCCGCACCCTGTTCTCCACGCTCTCACCCGACAAAGGCGCCGCCCCGGCAGGCGCCGCCGCCGCCGCCCCGGCCCGCCTGGGCCACGGCCCCGCGGCGGCCTTCCCGCTGCTCCCCGAGCCGCCACGCCCGCACAGGGCGGCTCCCGCGGCCCGCACCGCCAGCGCCGACAGCGCCAACCGCCAGCCTCAGGTGCGCCTGCCCAGCTGGCCCCCTTTCTTCCCGCTCTCGCCAGCCCACCACCTGTCCTGTTCCCTCAAGTGCCGGCTTGTCCGCCCGCCAGCAGCATGGCGGCTCTGGCTGCCTGCCAGCAGGCCCGGTTTGGCCCCCAACCTCCCCACCCTGGCGCCCTGCCTGCAGGCTGGGTCCTGGCAGCGCGAGCTTTCGTTTGCCGACCTGCTGACGGCGCACCGCCCGGTGGCGGCGCCGCTGCCGGCGGCCCCGCGCCCACCCGCCTCGCCGCCCCGTGCAGCGGAGCTGGTGGCTGAGATGGCTGTCACGCCCCGCAAGCGCGCCCGCAAGAGCCTGGCGCCGCTGCGCGCGGCCGCGTGCGAGGGCGAGGCGGCGCAGCAGCAGGCTGGCGCCGCCCCTGGCCCGCCCCTGCACGGCAGCTGCCAGGGCGAGAGCGACGGCGACTCGTCTGGGCTGCAGGAGGATGCCGCCCTCAGCACACCGCGCAAGCTGCCAAGGTGGGGCACAACGCCGCCGCTCGCCGCCTGGGGCCGGCGACTGGCTGTGGCGCCTCCTCCTTCGCATGCCCCCGCCGCTGCTCACTGCTTCGCTGCTTGCCGGCCCGCCCCGCTGCAGGCGCAAGTAGGTTAGTGCCCGGGCTTGCAGCCCAAGCACCACCCACATCTGGTTCCTTCAAGTCAAGGTAAAATAATGGTTCGCAGGCACATGCATGTAGGCATCGCCGCACACGTATAGATTGAACCCAACGTAGCCCTCTCGCTCCCACTGTACCACAGCTAGCCTTTTTCCTTACCGTACCCCCTAGACCCTTCCTCACACCCCAAGCTCCCCGCCAGGCATTGTTTTTTCCCCCGCACTGTCCGGCGCCCACCTCACGATTCCATAGCTGCGCAGCTGTGTGCTGTGGCGCCCCTCTCTCCACCCTACCTGCACGCACCCTACCGCATGTCCAACAAACGAGGCCAAACGTTGTTGTGCCCCCCTGCACATATTCGCACCGTACACGCACCGCACACACTCTGCCAAGTGCCTCCTTTGCTGCCTTTTGCTTGGACCGACTACACAACACAGGGACCCCCGCCTGCCCGCTGTGGGCAGGCCGCGTCGCGCCCTCTGGCGTATGCATGCCAGCTGCATCATTTTCCCCCGGGGCACACTGGCTAACGACGCTACACGTACACCCTCTCTGCACACCGCGCTATGTGGCTTGGGTTGTTTGGAGCTACTCCATCATTCACCCCTCATCTCTACCTGCACTGCACCTTCATTTGTGTCTGCATCCCCCCCGCCGACCATCACAGTTCCCCTGGGTATGAAACAAGACTTCCATTCTTTTCGCGTG